ATCCATTCTGGAGGGGCTTGGATTACTGGTGTTAGTGGTGGATCAACTGTCCCCACACTGGAATCTGGCTCCAAGCTCTTTCTGTCCCTTGCAAGTCTCTCCTACTTCAGCACTTTATCACACTAACATCATCGCTTGCAAAGCCAGGAGAAGTGCCTGCTGATGCCCAGCGAGGTCAGAGTGGCAGACAGACTTATTATAAATTAAACACAGCACACATCGTGGCCTGAGCAGAAGTAAGGGAACAAGTGATGGCAAGACATACCACCACCACCCCCCGCTCCCCTCTATTCTTAAACCTCAAGGGTCACGCTATTGCCTAGACAACAGACCCCACAGGGAGCAGATGCCGGTGTAACAGGGTGGGGGAAGGAAGGTTATTTCAATATTTTCTGTTCGATGACGGTGACAATTTGATCCCACCTCTGCCGGGGAGTTGGTATCAAAGTCTGTGCCTCACACACAGTTGTCAGTGCTGCATCCCTCTGCGCTGCCTGAGACGTTTGCTCACTCCTTTGTGTGTTGTGAAAAGTATCCTTGGAAACTGTTGTGTCGCAGGCAAAAAGCAAATCCGCTGATCTTCTACACGAGTGTCTCAAACAAATTCAAGCAATGCCGGCTGACATCATTACTGCTACTGAGCTGCTCCACCATGTATTTCCAGACTGAGCATGCCCCGTTTCAAGGTCAGAATGACAGCTGCAGTGACCATGATAAGATCTGTAGAAGGCAGAGAGGTCAGCTGAAATGAAGACTTTTAGGGGAAGTGTGTCTAGAGGACCTGGAGTGCAAGCTTAACAATGTCAAGGTCACATTGGTGTGATACGTCCTCATAGCCAGAGGAGCTCTCTGTGGTGCAGCAGGGCGTAATGGGCCATTTTCAGTTCCAGCAGCTAATTCTCTCTTTCTGCTCTCGCCTTTCACAGCAGCACAGTTAACCTCTCAGCTCCACGCAGGCCCCTGCATCCGTCTCCCTCCGCTTTTCTGTGGCCAGGTAGAGCTTGTAGGAAGACAGCCTCCATCAGCAGCTCCAGATGAGCTTGTTGCCATGGGGACAGTCAATGGGCTGGAGAGTGGGGACTTCGGGCCAGTCAGAAACACTCAGCGTTTAATTTTACCAGCTGGTAGACAGTGGGAGAAAGACATGGGGGTGGGAGGGTGGTGGATTCACAAAGGAGAGGAGCTGTAGGGGAGAGCGAGGGCCTTTCTGTCCGGAAACAAAGCACACCGGTGAAGAGGTGGCTCTGGGTGTCCCCCCCCTGACCACAGGAATACCAGTGGACAGGGACAGTTCAGGCTTACAGTATTGAACCAAGCAACAAAAGCTGTAAATGAACACACTAAATCATCATTTGTTAATAAAGAGTAATAAAGAGAAGATAAAGTGAGGGAAAAATGAGTTTGGATTACATCATGCGCAGCGTCCCACATACGCGTACTGGTTTGGGGTGTGTGTGTGTGTGTGTGTGTGTGTGTGTGTGGGGGGGATGTTACGCAGCGTTATGCGTTGGGGAGCTAGAGATGATGTCATTTATAGATGAACAAAGAAGCCGAGACTGAGCAGTCTGAGTAACGGCGAGCTCAAAAAACCTCCAGAGAAAAGAACTCACAGGTGCTAAGGTGCTTTATTGAACTTAAGTATCTCAAAAAGATCGACAAAATAATGCTCCACTGCCGTCACTGACATAAATATTTTTTTTTTTCTTCCAGAAACTTACATTTTCTCCCGTATGTACAAAAACAAACATAACCACAAGGTGCTTTTCATTGACAATGTGAGACCGAAGCTAATTCTTCGGTCCTTTGAACACCAGTGACTCTATAGAAACCAAAACCCCTGACAGGTACCTGTGAAGTAGAGAAGACGTAACTAATTTTACATCCAAAGTCATTCAAGCTTTGTCTTTTTGTGTGTGTGTGTGTTTTTTTTTAATGCCTCTAGGTCTGCAAATATACTGAGTCATTTACTGTCATGTGACGAGGGCAGAAAAGTGAATATGGCACTACGAATTCCTCCTAACACACAATATGCAGTGAAAATCAACACAAAGACGCAACAAATAAACCTCAAAGAGCAACAAAACAGGTTCCATAAGTAAACAATAAGACATTATTTATTCTTCTAGGTATCTAAGGCACTAGTTGTATTTCTCAACCCAAAATGAAGGACTTTTTTTTTTTTTTCAAGGTAGGGATATTGATGACTGATTTCTATACAAAATGTCACAGTACAAAAGAACTTCATTAATCCAGTTGCAGGGCTCCAAACAGACGAGCCAAGCGAAAATAGTGTATCGATTAGAGGAATTTCCGTCTTAGTGCATAGAAGCAAACACAAGGGTTCAGCCTGCCGTGCTTCCTCTTGTTTTCTGCATTTGTGTGAAAGTGAGCAGAAAGGCAGAATGAATAGGTGTCAGCGGCACGCCAAACCCAAAAACAATACTTTTAATTAGTCAATCTAAATGAGGCTATGCAGCCAACAAACTGCCAGCTGTACATTTAATTCCCAATAAAGGGTCGGTTCACCCACAAAACACACACATTCTCACCTAAACATCCCCATGGGTCGGATGCTTTGCCCAAGTTCTGAGATATTCGTCTACGCCTCCACCCCAGTACAACAGAGGCGGATGGAATATTGTTTGTGATGCTTATGACGCTGAAAAGCAGTGCTGAAATTTAACAGCAAAACATCTTTGCAGAAATTGCACCCTTGGTGCTTTACACAATTCACACTGTAAATGCTTTTCATTCAAACCACTCCCTACCAAAGAAATGGTGCGAATGAAAATGTCTGATAGTGTGTTTTGGATTTTATGAAAGACATGAAAATATTTCAATGCTTTTAGCACCACAGATGATATTCCCTTAACCTCTATGGTACAGGGTTGGCAGCAGAAATCTCAAAAAGATGGAAAAAGGGCACATTAGAGGAAAATGCTTTGTTTTGATAAAGTAGGGAGATGAATTCTTTCAGTAACATGAACATTAAGGTGGTTACTGAAATGTGCACCTTTTGTCTATGGAGATAAATTACTTCTACTGTACTGCACAGCATTCCAAACAACACGGATTGCCGTTAGGGGTCATATTCTCTTGCTTGCAAGTTACAGTGGCTCATTATCAAATCTCATGATGACAACTGCGGCCTATTCACTGCACAAAATTCACACCCTGACAAATAATTAGTGAGGGTTCATAACAACATAACAACTAATTCCCAATTCGACAACTGTTACTGTAATATTAAAGCATCTTTTCATTTCTATTTCAGGCTACAAGACCCTGTATACAACAGTGATACGTTAGTCATTTATATAAGCTAAGGATCAGTTGTTATCTAGTCAGTAATACTTATGTGAGACGCTGCCATCATCATATTTATACATAAACAAATATTTGGCATCTGGCAGCAAATATTGTATAGGTGACCATACTACTAAAGTTGGCATGTATTCACAACTAGTGTACATGAAAGAAATTGTTGGATCTCCTCCATGCAGTCTGGTAAACAGGTGCATGTGCCAAAACAACGTAGATTTTATCTGTATACAAAAAGCGATATTCGCCTTGGAATCCACAATAGCTTCGTCTACGTTAGACTCCTGCACTACTGGGGCTCCACCGCCCGATGACACACACAGGTACAACACTTTGTCCTCAGTTCAATCACAGTACTTGGTTTGTCCTGCAACATTTGAGAGTCTTGATTGGCAATAAAATGTGACTGGTTACATATGAATGCAGATTTAATTGTAAATCCAGCCTGAAATATGTTTAAAAAAAAATAAAAATTAAATAAAACACATGGTGTATTATTTTATAGCTACTTGATCTAATGAGTGCAACAAAATATAGCCTGTCCCTGTGCTGTGGATGAAACGCTGAGTCAAAGTGCTGATAATCACAGGTGAGAGTGACAACACATCCATCACGATAAACTGATTTGTCTACATAATGTATATTTTACTGTGTCAGTCCTACTAAATGTTAAATTGTAAAAGAACTAGTGAATGTGAGAGCATGCAGTTGCACACTCTAATAACGGATAAGGGACAATAATCCTATTAATGCCTCAGATTGTAACTGTGACACAGTCAAGTCTTGTTTCTACAGATTACTCAGACCAGTGAAACTAGACCATCAGTGGCTGACTGTGGTAGAGTGTACTGGCGGCATTCTTGAATGATTTCATTGTGCAACTAAATACTTTGTGACTAGGAGGCCAGCGTATGGTGGCTGCCATACTGTAGCCTGCTTTAAACAATGCCCCTGCTGATAGCACTCCTGAATTTCCAAGAGCCCTGGTTTGGTGCCAGGGTTCAAATTCTCAAACGGATCCATTATCATTGGACAGACAACAGGATAATGCAGAAATAAGTGTCTAACTGAGTTATTTCTGCTCATTTTGACTCAGACAATTTTGTGGCAGTTTTGCACACTAAGGCTTGACCTGTATGACAAACCAAGTTTGTTGTTACAGTGCATGGTGGACCGTTCATGCAGACCTCCTGCTTGTTCTTTTGCCATCTCTCCCTCCTGGGGATATAAGACGAGCTGAGAAAATGCAGGTGAAATGCTCTTAAGGTTCACACATCGCCAGGACATTCAGTGGTCAAGTCCTCAAGCTCACAATTCTTCTACTGTGATTTACATAAGCGTAGAGAGTTCAAAAACAAAACAAATGGTCTAATGATTTAGTTATCCATTATAAAGTTCTGCAAAAGGCATTGCAATACATTTTATGACCATCAGTGTGGCGCGGTCATCAGTCAAGTAGGGACCAGATTTGTCAGGGAGATAAATCTTCTTTTAGATAAATGTGTCTGCTATGGCTCTGCTGTGTCTTACTGAGTTTTGGTAAAAGGACAATCTAAATTTCATTGATTTACAGCCAGTCTTGAATTCAGTACTATTCTTGAATATCAGCTAATCACACTGAGAGGTCAGAGGTCTTTTGAACTAATGTGTGTGACCGTATCAACACATACAAATACAAATGATCTAGTGTCACAAAAAATTGGGATTTTGTAGAAATACACGAAAAACTTTCTTCTAAATAAACATGTGATCTTGAAGCCCCCAGGGCTTCCACTCACAAGACATTAGTAATGCTAAATAAAGTGTGGCAGTCCATGTAGTAAGGCAGAGACAACACATACATCACATCTCTTGTTAGTCTCTACACACACAAACTAGTGGCATGCCCAATTCTGTTACCATGGATGTTGACTGTCAACCTGGTTGTACAGTTCATAGTCTGTCCACATCAAAAACAGAAACATCTCAAGTGTCGACCAGGACACTTGAACAAAACAAGGGAACTAAAGAAAAGAGATTAGTCAACAAGTATGTGCGTACAGAAGAGAAGTGTTTCTTCCTAACTTAATTAACAAAACCTTTCAATTTCTGTTGTATTTCTGCTCCCTCAGAGCCAGGTAGCTTGTCAAACATACCACTCCCTACGTGAAATGACTGAGCCATCTGTGTGCGACACATAATCACCCTCGGGACCGCTATCGTAGCAGTCATCTGACAGGTAGGGGGAGCCGTTTCCCTGTGGTTTAGGTGAATGAGGGTATCTGGCACATCGGGCTGGCTGTGGAGTTGAATATTGTGCGTGTTCATGATGGTGATTCTGCTGATGGTTGTGGCGATTGCTCTCCCTCATTGCCCTAGTGTACCCATTAACGGGATACTCCTCTCCGTTATAGTTGCTATGGTGACGGCGGTCACGCTCATGTTTGAGCTGGCGGTCGCCCCACTCCTCTCGGTCGTGGTCTCGATGGTTCGAGCTGCTGCCAGCTTTGGTAGGATGGAGTTCATGCTGCGTGGGGGCCTTTTGAAGATCATTGGGGCCCAGGTACTCCTTGGTGTAGTAGTTCCCATGAAACGTCTGTTGTTTCCGCAGGTAACACACGCCAACCAGAGACAACAGCAGTAGCAGGAACAAGGCCCCTCCCACGGCCCCACCCACTATGGAACCAAGATTACTTTCAGGTAGGGCTTCAAGGGTGGGGGAGCTCAGAAGGACAAGGCCTTTCTCATCCACAAAGGTGGAGGGGGAAGAGCCAGTTAGGACAGGAGCGGTAATGGTGGAAGGCATGGTGGGAGGATCTAATGGAGGGAAGGAGGGTGAGAGGGGAGTAGAGGGCGAAAGGGGAGAGATGAACAGACAGAGAAGCAGAGAATGTCAATGCCAACTACATCAGCATTTTACCAAGAAGGGATAGGTTGACATATAACATCAACTACACTATGGCGTACATGCTCACAGCAGACATTTCTTTAGAGCTTCTGTGCGCAGCCTTTGATTGTTACACAGATATTAGTACATAAAACCTGAAAACCTAGAGTTTGGCACAGTGGGCTGACACACGATATGATGGACGAATGAGGAAGCTCGTCTCCAGCAGGGTCTGAGCAGAGCTTCATAAAAGTAAAGAGCAGCGTTTCTTTACAAGCAACAGCACTACATCCCTGACAAGTTCAGATTACCACGACAAGAGTAGTAGTGTAGTGGTTTTCCTCCAAGATAAAAGCCACTCATCACAGTACTTACAGATCTGACATGTCTCAAACAAGAATCCACTAACTCTTTTAATGTTTTATTCCAATTTATATGTAGTTTTCACTTTGGTCAAAGAAGGCCATGTTGTCTTGACTTCAGAAATCTCATACGCTGATAGAAATCTTTGAAGTCTTCATGTTTCTGTTCTTTGATCAGAGTGAATAGCTGACAGCTAGAAAATGACATGTTTTTGGATTAGTGAATGCAGAAAATCACAGAGATCCTTGTTTTATTTAAATCTTTACAAATATTTTAAGAGTGTGTTGTTCTGCATTAGAGTTTGTATTTTATGCTTCTAAAATTGTGTTTGACTAGAGATTCAGGTGTCCATGCTTGTACCGTTTTATTTGTATGCAATAAAGACACTTGAAAAAGTGATTCTGCATATCTTTGGAAATTTTGAGGCCGAGTACAAAAAAACCAAAGACTACTGAAGAAATCAAAGAGTATCTTGTACACAAGTGAAAAAATAAATAAATAAATAAAAATCAGGGCCCTCACACACAAAGGTAAAAGAAAAACATATCTTTAAGTATTTAACTGAAATTCTTTTGTATTTTTCCTGGCTACCACTTCGCACCTGTGAATCTAGCACATTTTAGTAACTATCAAAGTAACTTGTAACTGAGATAATGTATGCCAGTATTTTTGATAAAGGTGTGAACACATGGGAAAGCAGGCCATATCTCCAGACAATTACAATTAGGATGAATGAACAGTAAAAAGCATTTTTAAATGTAGATGTCCAGTCATCATATATTCTTTTACATGCAGAGAAAAACGTGCCTTAATGACCGGACATGAAAAAAAATGGTGTCAGGGATCTCTCTACATTTCCGTTTTATATATATATATGGTATGTTTTATTGCGTGAGAATGTCCGTTTAAGACCCTGGTTAGCGAGTATATTTTTCACTACGCCACGAATGAAACGGCAAAGTTGAAATGAACTGGATTAGTGGTTATAGCCACCAACAGACCATCCAAAGGCTGTAATCCTAAGGAGCTAAAGTAATGGAAAGAATCTGAGGCTAAAAGCTTTAATGGTGCTGCTAAATTGCTCTGCCACTTTAACCTCTGTGCCAGGCCAGATGTGAGGCAAAGATTCACATCTGAGAGATCAGAAACATGAACCCGGAGGTCTGTAGTCTAAGTATATAAATTGTACTACTCCATGTGGAGGCAGTGCACTGATGTGAGCACACCCACAGCAACACATACAATGAAGGGTACACCAACATGCGTAAGCTTGTGCACGCCCATACAGGTCCTCTCAAAGGAAAATGAAATATGGATGATAAATAATAAATAAGAGTTGAAAAGAACTAGTTAATGTTTTATGAATCTGGGACATCATCTCACAGTCAGGCTGCAGGCTTTTGCCTCTTACTGCATGACACATGCAGAAATAAAAGAAACACAAGAAGAAGGCGAGAGAGATGAAAAAGAAAATCACATCATAATCAGAACTTCATTCAGGAAGAGAGTTTCCAAAGGCAAGACAGATCTTGTGAAACCAGAGGAACATGCTCATCATACACAAAGGAGAGACGTGACACACTTAGATGCCAAGCCAGCAGGACAGAGCAGAGGCAGTGCACTGTGGGCTGAAGAGGCTCTAACTATTTGCAGCTGTTTGGCCCAGGAACTCCCCTTCTGAACATCTGGAGACTTAATGTTAATCAAGGCTAATCAGCATGCAATTATGGCTGAATCTAATATTATCAGTGGCAACACACTTTTACCATGGGTGATTGCTTGATAAGACTGTCAGTATGTACAGAATGGGCGAGAGTGATACAGTGTCACATTTCAGTTTGAAGGACAATGTCACAGGCAGTGATACCCTCTATGACGCGCATGCACGCACAGTGCTTCCTAAGGGATAAGGAGGCAATAGGAGTCAGCTGTGTTCCGGTGTGTATACTCCGCTCACCTTGTATGAGAATGCGCACATCCCGACTGCGGAGGTTGATGTCATTGGCAACCTCACACCTGTAAACTCCAGAGTCATTCCGATGGAGGGGACACAGGAAGAGCAAAGTGCTGTTTATTATTTCCACCCCTTCTGGCATTTCACTGTCCAATCTGGGTCACAAAAGGGACACAAACATTTAGACACACAGACAAAAACAAATGTCTTCAAACTCTAAGTAAACATTTTAAGATTTTGGATGACTGTGAAAACGTTTTTTTAAGGTTTACAGAGATGACTTCCCAGGCCACAGCTCAGCTTTTCAGCGCATGTCCTTAAATTCAAAGTTCAAACTGTGTATCACCTAAATACACTTGGAAATTATTCACCATTGTTCTTTCAGTGTTTGGTACGGGAGTGCGTTAACTCAAGGAAAACAGATAATGTCACATACAGACACACAGATACACACCTGATCCATCTGAAGTGGTGAGCCGGTGGGTTTGCATTGGCTTTGCACGTCATTTGAACATTTTCTCGTCCCACATACCAATCTCCATCATACCCCACAACTGAGATATCAGGAGCAACTATAGCGAGAGAGAGAGAAAAGACAAAACAACATTTTGAGACAGGACAACAAACTGGCCAGAAACACTGAACAACGTATCAACAGCCATTTTCGATTGTAGTCAGCATTTCTGCACTGTGCCTAGTAAAACCTTTTGGCATACGGAGGCTATTCTATGGAATACTAAGGTAAATTTGTAAATGCTAAAATATGTGCATTGATAATTCTTGTAGACACTCTGATGCTGTACGTAGTCTGAGCTCAGTAACGTCTCAACAACACAAGGCCTTCAGGATGCAAAGTAATCTATAAAAATCAAAAACATACTACAGTGAAGAGAGAAGCAAAAAACTGTCTGTTATGATGGTTCTCACAATTCAAAGCAAAAATCATTTACACTATTCCACAACTGTGGGCCCAGACGTCATGTTTTTTTTTTCCTTGACAGTATTTTGACAGAGATTTATACTACTCTAGCTCCTGTGCTGGTTTGCATTTGTTTCACAGCAAGCCACCTGTTCTACAAAGTACAGGATATTATTTTATAGAAAAATAAGTGCTCTATTTTACCCCGTGTCATATATTGAATCAAAAAAATAGTAATTCTTGAAAGTTGTCATCTGTCAAAAACAGTAAGTCAGACCAAAGAGAAATGCATGCGTCACTTTACTCCTTTCCCATGTCTGTCTGCAGCTGGTACGCAGAGACGCATTTGTGCTGCACAAAGTACAGACATGTACTCTAACATCTATGGGGACTTACTGACAGAAAACATTTTCACTTCTGACAGTTTAGGGACACATTTGGGCATGTGCTGACATAAAAAAGCCTAAAGATATATTGGATTTCAGGAAAAAAAAACAAAAAAAAAAAACTGGAAACAACAAGGACAGCCCTTCTTAAACCATCATTAATAGCTGTAAGGAGCCTGCATGAATTCTGGGAACTGTTGGAGTGCTTCAAATGAATTGAAATGAAGCAGAATCAATTTTAATCAGCAATTTACTATATAGCTCTCCGTCAGTTGTTAATTTGTTAGCCCACATGGCCACTCATAAGGCACCCACACTGCACATTGAGCTGGTAGGGGATCCTGAAGTCAGTCTGCAGAGCCGGGTGGCGGACCACACAAGTCAGCGTGTGGCCCTGGACGTGGCGTGTGGGATGCCAGATGTAGCGCACTTGTGTGCTGGTCGTGCCGTTGACGTCGTCGAATAGCTGCACTTCTGACTGGCCAAAAAGGTTGGACTCCCAGGACACCTCGGCAGGGGGCCGAGCTCGCTCAGCGATGCAGATGGCCACCACAGTTTCATTGCCACCATCGATCAGGGCGGTCGAACCAGCAGACACATAGACCTTTGGCTCCACTGTGATTCAGAGAGTGACAAGGAGAAGAAAAGAGAAAAACAACAAAAAAAGAATTTCCCAATTAGAATTTCAAGAGCCTTCTAAGGTTTTTTTTTAAACTGAGTTAACCGCACTGTTACATTACGTCTGTTTTTCCTGCATCGTTAACTGCATTCTCTTCACTTCTGTCATTCCACTACAACTGAGTCCAACCCATCATTAGCAGCTCTAGCCACCCCTGTGATCTGTTCTGTGAAAACAGACTGAGTGAGTATACACACACTCTGTGTTTGTGAGCCAGCAGTGACAACCTGTGATCCAAATGAAAACAAAAAGGGTAATCCCTTCAGCAAAATTGAAAACAGCACTGGAATCTGCTCTTGCTCTCCATCTGAACAAACGGCCTGTAATACAAGAACTGCTAGTAGACAGTGACCAAACTCATGTTTTCTGGTGCTGCAAAACTAATTCCCCGGCCTCACCCGCTCTGGAATTTTCCATTTTATCCCACTGACGACTGGAAGAAGCGCATGTTCCCAGTGTAAAAGGGGATACTTATAAAGTGACAAGGTTGAAAAGACAAAGGCATACATCAAATACCATAATATCGTGTTAATGTTCATTATTTTTTATTGAAATGTGTTGTTTAGTTACATATATGCATGGATATGTTTTATATCTTTATTGGATGTAATTTTCACCAGTGAAATAAACTTCACTGCACTGAACATCGTACCATTGTCAGTCAAAGTCATGTAAATTAATCTGAAAATATCTGATTGATTGGCAGTGACTGATGTCACCAACAGGAAAATGTAGTTTATTTTTGAAGAGTTAGACTGAAACACATACGTACCTAGCACATTGACAGTAGTGGAGGCTTGAGTGTTTCCCAGAGGAAACGTGGCTACTTTACAGGTATAGATCCCGACGTCAGAAAAGCCCACGTTTTCCAGTACAATGGTGGCGTCATGAGAGGAGGGCGAGCGAAAATACAGGCGATTGATAAACTCCGGAGGGATGGAGGTGCCAAACTCTGGGTTGTAGACAGCCACTGTGACGGATCCTGAAGGCAGACGGCGCTCCCAGGAACTCTGAGTAAGAGTAAGGTTTGTGCCAACCTCCACCCTGCACTCTAATGTTACATTCTTCCCCAGCACGGCACTCACCCTCTGAGGCACCACCACCTGACTGCACCACACACCTGCCAACGAGACACACAAAACAACACTGTCATGTACAATCACGCTGTTTATTTGCAAACAGGCAAACACCATTAATACATTATCTGGACACCTTAATCAAGGACTAGAGCATATTAATCCCTGCAAATGGAAATTTTAAAATGACACACAAAAAAAAAGTCATTATGCATGTGTACCCAAGCTGAAGCAATTAGTCGACTGATAGAAGTTTCCTCTCCAAGACGACTCATAATCAATGAATGAGAAAACTGAAATTACAAATGATGGTCATTGTCAAAAAAATATCTGTTAATTATTTGATATTCTTGATTAATTAATTAATCACTGTACATAAAAATCTATTAAGTTACAGAAGACTTGGAAAACCAGTACACCGTGGAATCAAAACCGCTGTTTAATGTTTTCTATCCATCAACTAACTAACTGACTAATTGCTTTAGTTCAAGCATCTCAAATGTGAGGATTTGTTACTTTTTTATGTTTCATATCATTTTGAAATGAAAAATGTTTGGGCACTGAACTCCTCAGAGTAAAGACATCTAAAGATATCACTGAGCTCTCAGAACAGTATTCTCACAGAGTCATCCATCTAATACTGAGTCAGAAACACGGGCTGTAGATAGAGATTGATGAACACTCTGTGACGTCACCAATAGGTTTTCTGAGGAGCAGTTTTAAGCTCAGTGTGCTGGCGCTGGCCGCCACCAACTTGGCAGTACTTGACTCCTCCTAACTCCCAGCTAATCCAAAAATGGGCAAAGAGGTGGAGCATGACGGCAGCTGAGTTGGCCATGGACTGACCTGTGACAGCAACCATCTGTCACTCCATAATTATACATAACTTTAAGCCTTAATACAATTTAAATAAGTGAGTTATATAAAATCCACCCCACCCATGCACTAAAAGGGAAATAACAAATCAAAAAGATCCTTTTTTTTTCTGTGCCAGGCTTTGAACATGTTTATTTCTGCTGTAAAGTTGGCCACTTTACCATGAGGGTCTATGGGGAGTGACGATTTTGGAGCCAGCCTCAAGTGGCCATTTGAAGAGCTGCAGTTTTTGGAACTCACGCGGTGGCTTCATTTTTCAGCCCTGGAGGCAGCTGCTTGGTGAGCAATCACCAATACTATGATGGCATCAGCGGGGAAAGGGTATTTCTGGTGTTGCCTTTGACGTCAGTCATTAAAATCCATTTCATATCCGTACAAGTTCAGTACCATCTGACATCTGTGGGTATCAGACTGGAATCAAAACTTGATACCACCACAGCAGGCATGGGGCTCTTCAACAAATACACAGCTTACTGTGTGACTCAGTGTTCCCATTGATGAATTTGTTTTGTCTCTATAGACTTCCTCCTCCTGACCTGAATTCAGGAATTAAAAGCAGCCTGTCTGTACGTCTTTTGTCCAAATATAACTAACCCATGCACTCTGTCACCTGCACTTGTCAGAAATGTGGCATGTCTTGAAAGCAGGAGCTCAATGTCGTGCTGAGGAAGGTCAAAGGGATATGAAGAGAACAGACTGCGACCGGCAGGAAAAAAAAAAAAAAAAAAACCAAGGGAAGAGATATGCTAACATAATGATGACATCATCGCTGAGAGAAGAAAAGAAGGCTGAGAGTGAGGAGAGACGAGAGCGAAGTCACATATGAAACACAGTGGGAGGAAACGTATCACGAGGATCCCTGTACACAAAAAACTGATGAACTACGTTACTGATTTGAAAAGAAAATATAACACTATTCGATTGCCACAGCCTTCAACTAGATCACTAATTGCAACAAGCTGCCAGCAGGAAGACATCATCATAAATCAAAACCTGCTGCGCTGCTTGGCAACTGACTCCAAATATTCTATTGTTGTTTTGCCAAAAACAGCTCACTCTCTGATCAATCTCGCTCTAAAAGGCCATGTCCTCAAATACTGGCAGCGCTAAAGGAAATTTTGCTGCCCCTAAAGTATGAAGTACAAATGTCTTTATTTATTTAGTCTTTGAATGTTGCTGTCTGTGGAATGAAGTCTGAATTTGTGAATCAATTGTGCTTATTTGTCAGTTCTTCCATTTTTCACAAACATTTTATAAGCTTGGCTTGTAACTTTCAAAGTCCAGATTGTTGCCACAACAAAACCATATGTAGTGTGACTGATTTTTGTAATTATTGTACATTGGCAAACTTCAGCATCTGTCGTATGTTGTCCAAGATTAAGCAGAAAATAAATATCTCAACACAAGCTTATTACATGTGAATATTTTCTGGTTAAGCTGAACATCTTAAAGGTTGTGGACAAATCAAGACTTTTGGGTTTGTCATCTTGGGCTTTGAAAAACACTGTTCCACATGTTTAACCAGTTTATTGCCCCAAAACTAATTCATTCACCAAGAAAAATAATAATAATTAAAAAATAAAAAATAAATTAACAGATTAATTAATAATGAAAATTATAGTTAGCTGTAGCCCTAATTAAATCCTAATGTCATATTTTCTGTATACGAGGTGTCATGAGTCATTTCACAGCTCATACAGAGAAAGGCCTGCAGACGTTGGTTACTGGGTGTAGAGACTGATAGAAATTTATGCAATTTCAATACTTTCTGAATCCACTGTCTCAGTGCAGCAGCAGCAGGGAGATATTCATCTGTGTGAGCACTATTCCTGAATTTATCTGCTACTTAGGGTTATACTCACACACACAAACACACACTTGGCCATCTGATTTGACTCAGCCTGCTCAAACATCATATTAACTTCAGATGAGCTTTGAAATACATATTGAGACAAAAAAAGACGACGTCATCATTTCTGTTGGAAGTTAGGAAGGGACTTTTTAATGGTCTGTAGAAAGCGATTCTTTAAAAGAAATCCATCCATCCATCATCTATACACCGCTTAGCCTTGGAATAAATCCTCCTACATCATGGCATCCTGCATTATTGGTAAATTAATTTGACATTATTACACTTAGTATTAACATGATTTCACCATTACTGTTAAGTTGCTTGCAAAGAAGCACTTCCATCTGTAGCGAGTTTTTTTCGTCAAACAAAACAATGACATGCGAGTCTATAGAAATCTGGATCTACTTTAGATGATTTATCAAAGTGAGATTGTCTGCGTCTTCTCTTCCACTGTTAGCTTGCAATATCTATCAGTCTTTTCACAAATGCATGGCACGACATAAAAGAGCTAACTCATTAGGTCAGAGCTTAGTGCTGTTGATCCCTTTTAAGTTTAGAGCCCTAAAAAAAAAAAAAAATACAAATGCCGGATGGACAGAATGGATGGTTTGAACGAGCCAGCAGCAGTAGAGCTATGCTACAAGAGGCTTATCCCACATTTCCCATTACACACAGTTCTCAACTTCCTCCAAGGAGGAGCGAAGCTGTTCTGAACACAAAGGGATAGCCCCAAGCGAATGTTTGCTATTGGTTCAGTTGCTGAAGTTAATTAGCGAGTCACCCCAAACAGAGTATCCTTGAAACGAAGGATCGAGTCAGGTGAAACAAGGAGGCAGAGAACTGAGAACACATTTAAATAAACTGGTACCTAATTGCAAAAACTGTGCATGTCACCACAAATGCCTTACAGCAAGGTTAACAAGGGCACACCATAAAAACATTAAATAGATTGTAAAATAAAAATCTATATGTGAAGAAGTGGGATCATGGACGCAATACATTATTCAGACTTTCTGAATGAAATCCTAAATCGCAATATTTGCCCCACTGCTGAAACAGTCGAGTGGTTTGTATTAAAAGCGTTAAATGCCACAGCTGAATTCAGACGGCAAATACTGAACAATATTCTGTAAATAACCATTTCCTGGAGAAGAAAGCCAATTTTATGAGCTATTTAACGATAAGACTGGAATTCCAGCAGAGTGAGTGGAGAGAAAGCAGCATTTTCCCTGCACTGAATATGTAATGGAAGAGGTATAGCGACTGTATTAAATTTTTATTGGTGACATGACGACAACCTTACATAAGCGTGCCCTCGTTTTCTCCAACTCAGAAAAAAAAAAAGTGATGAGAATAAGGGCAAAGTCTATCTGATCTTATGTGCAGCCTATCTTGACATAGCAATAGTGATTCCTTCTTTTCATGCTCGCACTGAGAAAGAAAAGAAATTGTTTTAAGTTCTTGCAGCCCTTATATCCTCAAACAGAGCAGCGTCTGTAGACACTCTCAGTTCGGTTTGCAAATTCAACACTATGTGTCTCATTGACACACAGAGTAGAAAACAGATTATAGATATCCTGGCATCAAGGACACATTGCTCCCCGGGGACACTCGGCTGCTCGTTCTCACTTTAGTCAATATTACCTTCACATGCACCACTTATGTGGCGGCAAGTGTATTAATATGTGTATCTTGCTAGAGGGCAGCGTGTCTTGTTAAAAGCGGAAATCAGAACATAAACGGTGATGGTGTTAGGGTGGAAGTGGCAGAGCCAGCTGTGCAGAGCAGGCAAGGACTGAACAGTCGTTTAATAGCCTGATACTATCTCACCTTCATATCAACTTTGGATTCACATGCAGACTCCTGAACTGGCTTGGTTCTGTTGAGCTGTCCATCAGTCGGGAATCACCCGAGGACCCATTCATTCAGCACTGAGCTAACGTGTCATTGTGTGCACTATAGGTGTCTACCTATAATGTGGAGTTTTTCAGCTCCACTGGTGCAGAACTATTTGCATCTTGTGATTTATTGACAGACACACACACGAACACAGAGTCGTAAATTGTCGCCCGTTTCCCCGGCGGACACTTGACCAGCTGTGAGTCTGAGCAATCGACTAATAAAAGTCGAGTTTACGCTGTCACTGCACCGGATGCAACGTACGGATGCAAAACTCTGTTTTGCTAAACCTGCACTGTACGCAAACTTAGTACCGCCAGATGTGAACTTGTTTTGGATGCTATCCTAAGCAGCCATCTGCCACACCAAACTCACTATGTTATCACAGTGTTGTGCTCAACAGCACATTATTGACTGGCACACAAACTCCTGCGTTTTCTTTAACCTGCAAGACTTGAATGTTGATTTAGTGAATTAGTGTTTTAAGTCATGCATGCTTACTAAATGGTTGAACCTATGACACATAAACGCAAACTGATGCCAACGTTCCTCCATGGCAGCTGGATGTGAACACACAAATGGTTTGCTAACAGGTTAAACATTTCAACTTTGGAAGATGAAAATGGCTCCATTTCTGTCAGCTTATTGTCATGTTTTTATTCTCACTGTGGCCAGCAGTAAAATTTGATAGTCGGTACATACACCATTGAAATTCCACAATTCTCTGAACCAAAAACAAAAATTAATCAAATGAATGTGTTTAAAAACAAACTATTTGACAATGTTGCTGGTCAGGCAGAGTGCCAATACATATGGACGCACAACATTGTATTTTGACAAGTGTCTACTGATGATATTAGTAGCACCCAGCTCACACTAGAAGTTATTCCAACATCAGTGTAAAAAAGATAGGATTTAGAAAGCATTTGTGAAAACTGTGTGGAGCATTACAGGTGCTGTGATTTGCAAATAATGACAAACATTTTAGGACATGAACGTTTGGATGAAATGTTGTTGACGTAAAGTTAAAAACTGAAACTTAATCATGTTCATTTCTGCGTCAAACCAGAATGACTTCTTACGGTGCTTCGATAGATTTGCCATGTTGAGTTCGACATGCTCTGTGACACTGCTAGCACCCTTGCTTTTAGTAATCCAACTTGTCCCTGATCATCTAACTTTAACGCAAAACTCTTGGTGCGTTTATTCCCTGAAGTAACCTGTTGCCTTACCTGCACTTGCCACTGCTATCACACACATATTGGTGTTACTGCCCAGTATCTTGGGCAGCATCTATGTTGCCTCTTATACTTTCTATGCTATAAAAACAACAAACAAACACAGATTGTTGTCACATTGTCAGAATTTTGGCACAAACTCTGTTCTTGTGACGCTTCTAGGGGCCAGAAATACAAAGAATGCAGCTTTATTGAAACTGTGTGTTTGGGTGAAATACATTAAGGTGCAAGAAAACAGTTGGTTCCCCTTTAAGGCCTAGGCATTATTAGCTCTAAGGATGCTGGCATCTATTTTGCATTCAACAAATGCACAAGGTCAAAGCACTCATTTCAATGTACAGCAGACATAAACTGAACCTAAACAATTGGGCACCTGTCTCCGCTCCTTACTTTCGATTTCCTAAACTGAATAGGATGGGGCTTTGGTGTCTCAGTAATGGCATGAGGGGACATGCAGTACGTGAATAATGTTGCAAAGGATCTCTGGGTCACTTTGCTCACGTCACGTGTTTAACAAAAGAGTTATGGAATCTTCACTGGGTTTTGTTCTCGTACGGGAGCTTCTCTTCTCTGCACACTGTCCGGTTGTTTAATTGCGAGAGAGGCCCTCTGCAACATCAAACACTGGTCTAATGCCGGAGCATACACACAAGTTTCGTGGGATGTGCAACATACCCACTTCTTTTTCCACTTTGTTGCATATAACTGCATCACACTGAAAGATGCCCAGTCAACATATTACTTCTCCTACCTTCAGATGAGAAACAGTGTGGGTGAGAAACAAATCATCTGACTGGATTCGCAGTAGCTGGGTGATGGTTATACCTGGCTGCAGAGGCACGGCACATAACTATCCATTATCCTTGGGCACAACAAAGATTTAATCAGATGTGATTTACATGTTTCTAAGTAGTGCAGTCTGTCTAATTTGGCATGTCACGCCTGATAAAAACTTGTCCATATGCTGTATATTTAAAAAAGCTGCTTGATAACTAATCTGATTGATTCGTGACTAAGTTAATTTGGACATGAACAACACAACCAGTCACGTATTGTTACACTGAGTCATGCATCAGACAGTTCTGCTCAACTGTTATATTCTTGCTTTTGAGGTTTTTATTTTTAACAAAGCAGCTGTGCACAAAGTTGGCGTGTTTCAGGGTGGAGTTAGTGAAGTGCCCGCTCCTTGATTAAACCGTAATGAGCTCAGGCTCCACTGCAGGCACATGGTGGCTGACCCTCATCCGGACCTGAGGGTGCTGCATTAGCATTGTCTTCTCTGCTCACACCAATCTAAGTTCCTCAACATTTTTTTTTATTTTTTCTAAAACTGGAAGCGTGACGAGCGTCATAGCATCACATTACTTTAACAGAAAATGTTTCTGGAGCTAATATGGCTGCCGGTGAATCTGCACTGACCCAAGTGTAGGTTGGGTAACGGTATATGTAACTCAGCAGGAGCTCCTCGGCGGGTTCCGTGGACCGGTTCTATGGCAGCCTCCGGGTCGCACCATCATCCGCGCTGGTGGCGCTGGCTAGCTGCTAAACTCCGAGGCGATGAAGTGAACTTGGAACCAAGTTTCAGTCACTAAATAACGCCCGCTAAACTTGCCGAACTTCAGATAATCCCCCGCTTGAAGCCCGGGGAGGAGGCGAGTTTCTACCGACTCCAGCGCTCAGCTTTCTGCAGGATGCGCGAGACAGTAGTCGGCTGCCTCACAAAACTTCTGTGTAACGTTGAAGGAACAACAAAAAAAAAAAACTAGCGCAGAAAATCCAGGACTCACCTGTAATACTGCACAGAAGGTGAAACAACGCGACCTTGCTCTGCTGTCCGAGGTAACTCCGGTGTGAAGACGGTAACATTTTCAAAGGCAGTGCAGTCGGCTGCTCCAGGACCGAGGCGTAGGATGCATGCCAATTTAACGGTATGTGCCGAGCAGTGGAAGCTCCTCAGCAACAACTCCGAACTGCATGTGGACTGTACCACCTGCTCATCGCGGAGCGGGGGGACCGGGAGCTCACCTGACAATTGAAGTAAACGGTCATCTGTCGAGGTTCTACAACAACCTCCCCCTGGAGGAATAATCCATTAATATACACATTACGTCATCTCTGTTGATAACCCGACATATATTGATTCATCAGATCACTTTTTTCTTTACTGGCACCGCCAATTACACACTGGAAACACAAGCTTGCTTTACTGCTACGAAAGAGGAATGTGTATTTGGTATTTTTTTTGTTTGTTTCTCTGGTTGTCAGCCAGCATGATTTAAATTTTCTCAACACATTCCAATAAAATTTGGTGGAAAGTAATTAGGCCAAGTGATCCAGAAAAGCTGGTTCATTGTTAGTGCAGATAGGGCCATGATGTGAACATTGAAGATGCTACATCTTTTCTTACAACTTTCGAACTTTAAAGGGTATAAGCATTTTTTTTTTTCTTGACTGCTTGGCCCAACCATAGACTGTATATAAACATAAATGTATACAGTCTAAAGGCTGAACAATTAATCCAAATAGTATAAAAATCGCTGTGTGGCCAAGTGTAATATCCAAATCACATTAGCAACAATTTTATGATCAAGCTAAAAATGTGTCATGGAAAGCCATTATAAATGAGGTAATGTGGTGCTACAGAGATGCCCCAGGCTACAAATCATATTCTCCAGAGATAAGGGAACACGTTGTTTAGTTCAGAAAGCAGCAAAAATCACATTACCATTTTTAAACATTATTTATTTATTTGAAAAGAAATAGAAAAATTCTAAGTAAAATTGTGAATCATATCCTAATAGCTGTCAAAATAATTGCAATATGATTTTTTTTATGTGTGTCTATTGTTCAGCCCTACTATGGGTTCAGCTATATGTGGATGCCCACAGAGACTCTTCATAGATCTCCCACCATTTAAATTCGAGAAAAAACATTTGATCAACCCTGTGAACATGGTGATATTTCTGTTTTTATATTCTTCACCGTTTTCCACAAAGATCTGGTCACATTCAAAATGAAATCATGCTTGCGTCATGCAACTGCAATGATACAGATAAAATGTGCCCTCATCAACTCTGAGCAAACCTCGGATTCCTTCTGGAATTGTGATGGCATTTGACCTATAGGTGGCATTACAGCAGCAAGCATGCATGGCACAATACACCTTTTTCTTTTAACAGGTGGCATGTCATAGCAGGGAATGCACAGATGTGATTAATCATATTAATGACGGCTGCGTTCCATTTCGTTTTGCCACTGCCATTGGCCTCCTGGGACACTTAAACCAAACTGAGCCATCGTTAAAGTTATTACTTCCACCTGTGTTTATATGACAAGTCAAAATGTCTGCAGTAAAAACTATTCATCCTTGTCGGGGTCCTTAGGAAAAAAAAAAGCATGACATTTAAACTCTCAGGGCAACGTGTCTGTGGAATTCAACAGTTTATGGTGATGGTATTTAAAGTCTGTGACTAAATTATCTCATATATAACCTTTTAACTTTAAAATATTATAATGTGCTCTATTTTTTTTTTGCAGCAGACTCACACTTGAATCAATGATGGCTATTAAATACTAAATATCTGCAATTACACTTGTTTTCTCTTCTGCTTCTGGGTGCAGAAATACTGTATGCGGCTCGAGTTGCTGCTCATAGTTCAATCAGTCAACAAGTCAATCTTTGCAGAGTAAATGTGGGTGGGATGAGGTGGGAGCTGGGGGGCGGCCCACCCCTCCTTTACTGCTTACAGAAAGCTAACCAGGTCAGTACTTTAATTTGAGTCACAGGGGATACAATTACTCTCCCACCATCCCATTCATCTGCAACTCTATAGCGCAAACGGCGGTGCACATCCGTGTCTTCTTGAAGCTGTTTTGAAGTCCACAGATGCATCGCGCATTCTCATTGTTCTTAAATTCAGTCAGATATTTGCCTTGAGTGCAATGCATCTACATGAAAGCTATATGTTGCTGTATGTTCTAAGAATCTGAGACGAGGATGAGAGAGAAGAGTGTGCTGAAAGACAGGATAATTCAATTTAAGGGCTTCTTCTATATCAGAATTTGTACGTTATAAAGTTCCCCCCTGACTTTTCCACAACCCCTCCTCGTGGAGCGGAAAACCTACCCATCCATTATTCCACTATTATCCAGTAGGCCATTTTTGTGTTTCATATTTTCCTTTTCTTTCTTCAGCATCTTACTTATGAAATTCCATTTCTTCCTCGTGTTTCAAGAACTTGCCAGATCAGCAAACACAGACATATTTTGTACGTCCGAGGGTTTCATGTGACGGAATTTAGATGAATGAAAGTGCTGTAACTGAGACACGCTATTAATTGTGAGTCAACAATTCTTTTCTCATATCATACAACAGAGATGAAACAGAGGGAAGGTTTCCATCTTTCAGACCGTTTATGTATTTGGGTCTTTGTGAACTCAGTGGAATCCCACAACACAGTGGACAGGGTGACCTCGAACCTGTTCGATCAAAGGTAAAACAGAAACTGCAAAGAAAGTTGCTGTTGTTAAACCAAAGCCACCGAGTCCACGGTTGAGGATGTGAAGAGTTTTGTGATCACGACAACAACCTCTCCCTCCTGCTCTAAACCAAGGCTGCTCTCTGTCACCAGGTACTTTCTCGCTCTGGAATGTTTTTCAGCCCTTCAAGTGCTCTTTCACGAAGGCCGGAGAGGTATTGAGAGGGCTTCAAGATTGTGGCGGAGTAAAGATCGGTTAAATTAGTCCACCTCCTGCTCAGACGCTTCTTTTATTCCGCGGGTCAGCACCTCCCTCGCTGTTTACCCACATAAATTGTTCCCCCTCTCTGCGCTCCGACTCAATCCCCTCTCCTTCACAAGTGTCCATCTGCACTGTGAGAAAGAGCAAGGGAGAGGAATTCCTTCAATAATATCACGAGACACTCATGAGATAGAATAAATCGAACTAATTTAGTCTGATATTGGATGCAGACCATTTCCCACATACAAATTTATGAGCCACATGCTTACATGCCATTAGGGGCTGCAGTTGGAGCCACAGTTTGTCCAGTGGAGCCATTTACAAACCAACGGTGACATCTGCTGGCTGAAATGGGAAACTTCACATACGATTTCAGAATCAGTATTAGTCTCTTTGTCAGTTTGGCATTAATTTTATAACATTTCATGGAACATATTATGTATTGTGACTTACAGTATTTGAGCGGTTTGGAGAAATCTGCCAAACATAATGACAACAGATTGATGAAAATAGTGACTTGTCCTTATCTAAGCTTAAGTCATTTGTTGCAGTTCACTGTTATTTGTTATTATGTTGTTATTATAATTTACATTTCATCAGATGGGGATAAAATGTTCTTATTTTCCGGATATGTTCACAAATTTTCAAACACTATAACATTTTTTGTCTTTCAAAAAAACTGACATTTCATAAATATTAACATTCTTATCCCGTGTGTGTGTGTGTGTGTAAGACGAACACCATAAGCATCATCTTCTTGTACAAACTCACAGTTATAATGAGCTTTTAATGTATTTTTATGATCGAGTTTACTCGTTCTTCCTATATTTTATCATTTTATTATCATCTTTACTCTTTGTATTCTTCCAATCTGTCCTTTTTTAAAGTCTTATGTGAAGCCAGATGTAACTTCTTTTGAGAAGTGGTAAATGAATAAAGGTTTTATTAAGTGCAGCTTTTTTTCCAACAGTGTTCTATATAAATAAACAAAGCTTGCTTTCACGTACAGATTGAATTCAGTTGCGTACCCTTGGTCTAGTGCTTTATACTTCTACTATTGAGTTCGTAGCATTCATTAATATATTTACACTGAAATTACAGAAAGCCAACATGCCTTTAGTTTTATTAAAATGTATTTACATAAGCAACAAGGCAACAAAGGTATTCATGAGGTAAACATGAAATATTTTCTTCTCTTCACTCACAAAGTGTTTCTATTTCTGACCTTGGATCATTATATTTATACAATACATAAAAAGCATCAAGTGGTTCGATGTGCAAAAATGTTAAAACTGTGATTCACAGTGTTGTGTGTGTGTTTTTTATTTGATTGGTGTTGTAACGCTTCATTTTTATCATTTCATTATCTTAACATTTAGATCTGTCTCTTAGTCATTGTGTTTTATTGTGTTGCCAGTTGTTTTACCTGTACTCTGTGGTTCAACTATTGTTGTTTTTAAATGTGTTTTATAAAGAATTGGCTTGTATTTTTATTCTTTAATCATAAAATTGATTGTAGGATGCTTTAAAAGAAGCTTTTACTGATAATACATTAACAAGGCAATCATTAATATAATGATAGAATACATTTATTTTTATATCTTATGTTCAGATTTCACTATGTGTGCAATAGAAACAGTGAAAATAACAGTCTGAAACATACTCTCTGATTTATCATTAAATGGTTTGATCATCACTTTCAAAGACCAGTTTCACCAAAAATATATTTTGAAATTTTCCTTAAAATTAAAAATAAGTCATGGAGAGAGAAAACTAATCTTATGAAAAATCATGAGTGTTACACATTTAACACAACAGTTCATCATTAGAGAGGATTATCAACTCTCTGTCAGCACATTAAAGACTGCCATGGATAATCTAATTGGCTGGTAATGATATTAGTTACGAAATGAAAAGAGATTGAAAGAGTGCTGCCCTTTGTTCCTGTAAACACTACGTTAGAGTTTATCTTTTGCTGCAGGAAGAAGTCTGATTTTTGACAGTTTGCTCTCAGACTTTAGAGCTTTTGAGAAAATAACTATTTGCTGCTGTGTGGCTAAATGTGCAAAAGCTAAGTTGTACTTAAACTGTGCATAACAATAAGCATAATCTTTAATCATCTTACAATATCAGAGAAAAGCAACAATGGTTTAGAACACTATCATTCGGACAGAATCTGTTCAGATACAACTTCTTAAAACTCGTCAGGGAATGACAAAGAGAAACAAAGCAGCAAAAAAAGCACACAAACGAACAGAATAACTTTGAAATCAGGACTTAGGAGATGGAGTAACTCTGGTTTTGAAGCCGAAGGTAAAATAGTTTATAAAGACATGCCTGAAGGTTTGATCTCTGAGGCCATATAGGAGTGGGCTCAAACACTTTGGGAGGATAATTAGAAACAAAAAGAAGACATACTGAATGTGCACAGCCACAATTCGCTTCATTTTCAACAGGCCGCTCGTGTTTATCATGTTAAACAGAGTGGAGGTAAGACACAAGCAGAACTGAAGCAGGTGCAACAGCATTGTCTTATGTGCTTTACTGGCTTTGCTCGCATTGGAAGAGGCCGACTTTGCAGTAATCATGATTGAAATGTATGTATAAATGATAATCACGCTCACCAATGCAAAATATACAACAGTGAAGATCTTGTTTAACGTGAAATAAATTTGTAGCCGGAAGACAGCGCTTTTGACGCAGGACTTTTGCAAAATGAAGCTCGTGTTCTCCAAACTAAAAAACACAATGAGTAGCATGAAGGAGTCTAAAGAGGCCACCGTCCATATGACAGCGATGGCCAAACCCATCGTCCTGGACGTGGCGATGTTAGGGTGCCTCAGTGGGAAACAAACAGCAACATATCTCTCCAACGACATAATGGCAAGGTTGAGGGGAGACAACTTAACAGTGCTGGTTGCAATTAGCACAAAAGTAATGCAAACATAGCTGACCATTCTGATCCTGGTCAAAGCCAGGACGTACAGCAGCATGGTCCCCACCAGCTGCAGAGAGTCAGTGACAAGCAAGTGACCGAACAGGACGTATCGAGGCGACTGCAGCAGGACGGGCTTTTTCAGCAAAGCAAACACCATGACACTGTTCACGTACAGGAAAAAGAAGCACAGCAGTGTGGACAGCACAGCTTTGACACTAGCATGAAGTGGCAAAACCTGGGACGCTTCTGTCGAGTCGTTCATGACTTCAGCAGTCTGTGGAGAGACGACACACACAAATGCATCAGACTGATCCTTAATCAACATTATGACAGTCCGGAAATCTGTCAAGTTACATCTTAAATAAGCACGGCATGATAATCTACATAGAATCTATGAGGCTAAATGTCAGTCAGTAGATTCACACAATACTTACATATCATGGGTTTGAGGAGAAAATCCACCTTCAGGGCTTCACGTCCTTTTTATAAGTCATCTGTGTATTGACATCATCACCTCTGCCAGTTAAGCAGCCAGTTAAATCTCATCAAATCATCATCTCAGCGTACATTGGCTGTGTGTGTGTGTGTGTGTGTCTAAAAGTTTGTAGACATTATGTCGCTAAAGGTGTCCATTTACTTTCTACTCTTTTATAGCATACATATATATCTGTTTTACACAAGCACATACAGTTTGCAATTTAGTATAGAAAAAAAACAACAATATTAATACATTTTGGTCAGAATCTATTTAGCATCACAAGGTATATACTTTCAATAATGTCACACATTAAAGGGGTCATTTAGTTTTATGTAATTTAAATGTATTTTATAAATAGTCTGTGTCGCTAACAGGTCCAACAGGAGAATCACACATCAGAAATACACCTAATATGATGTTTTTTGTTGCAAGTATTACTCTTTTAAGTGTCTAATGTGTTCAGATTTTAAATATTTCTGCTAAGCTCTAATGTCCATGCCTCACTACTTCCTTGTATTCGCCTAGTGTTTCTTGGAACACTATACATTGTTATTATTTTGCTGGGAACAAAATATTGTGAGCAATGGGTGCAAAAAAAAAAAAAGATGCCAGGCAGTTTTTAAATCCAAGATTTTTGATGGAGATACTTGTTTAGTCAACTGAGCCGCCACAGTAGCCAAGAGGATGCCCCGACAGCAAACAATGAAACTCAACAAACAGAAAGATACCAAACACTAATTTAATACAGCAGTAATTTTATCTTTGTGACGCATAAGACGATCCCTGCTGTATGTTGATAGGAGGTACGGTTTCAGAGGAAAGCGAGCAAAGAGAAGGGAGAGTTTTTGAAAGAACAGTTTTTATGTTTTTCTTGTTAAATTCTTTAAGGAGATTTTCATCTTGTGTCTTTAAATCTGTGTCTGTGATTGACAGTAACTTTCTCTGTAAGTAATCACTTTATGTGGAAATAACGCTGAGGTTTTTAACTCGTGTGCATGGCTCAATATACATCAGCTTGAAAACAGCGATGAAGTGTCTGCTGGTTAACATGTGGTGGTAACGGGCTGTGTTTCAGTCATTATGCCATACTTATAGTGTTTCTCAGTCGCTTTGGTTCATTTCTCAGATCAGAATTCTCAAAACTACTTGTTCAATCTTCACATCATTGTGTCACTTGTGCACATCAAAAAATCAGTTTTTCATTTCTTTGAACAAGTTCTAAATGCTTTGGTACATCCATCCAAATGATTATGTACAATTCTCTGCTGTTTCCTATATTATCAATAGCTTATGTCATGTTGATCAGAATGTATTATAGAGGGTCTCTGTTGAATAGTCTCACCCCCACAACATTTAGGCATTAGTTCATCACATAAGTCTTTACATGCAAAATAATTGAACAAATTGTCATAATAAGTCGAGCATATTTCTATACATTTCCATTAGACTTTTTTTTTTCTAAATCTATCCTGAATTGGTAAACTGCTCCCAGGTGAATCTTGACTTTCTCTAATAAAGCAAAGTGTGTGTAGCATCACATAGATAAACCAATGATAGACCAGGTTTCTGAAATAGCTCAAAGGTGCATCTTATGAACCATCAACTGGCAAGTATAGAGGAAGACTGCACTGTAATTCTTACAGCACTGCATGTACAGTTTTCCCTAAGAAGACTGTCTTATGTTCACATTTCTATTTTTGTTTTTGTCTTTGTGCTATGCAGTGCTGTCTTCTCCTTTGTGTTTGGCAATGACATGGTCTGTCAACAAATCACAGTACAAACAGTAAAAGCCTAAATGTGAATCTTGTCCAGTCTCTTGCAATCAATCTCCCACATACACTAAGGTGTAACTCACAATTTACAATAATTGTCATCAAAACTTTTGCCATAGTTTACATCAGAACATCCCTCCAGACTGTTATATTGACAACATGACTAAACAATCTGACTGTCTTATCTGGACACACTGACACAAGGACTTGTCATTCTGATGCCACTGACATGTTCACTGACACAGACATCTAGTTTTGAGAGATGAACTAAGGATTTTGAGCAAGTAACTGCTTTTTGCAGGTAATCCATGGTGTTTTGCTATTTGTATGAATTGTTATGAGAAATACACTTATTGTTTTGCAAATGTCGACGATGATTTGAGAAACCTACCAAAGCAACTGAGAAAACTGTATTATGTTGCAACAGAAGCAGAAAAATATGTAAATGAGAACAGCTTTGTTGGAAATTTAGTGGTATAAAAGTGCAGTATATATGAGAGCAGGAGATGAGCAAACAGATGTAAACATCCTCTTTAGGTTTTCATCATCTCCGAGGGTCCCTCAGCGTTACATTTTCCACAGAGCTCTGACCTGTGGCCATACGATCAAATCGAATAGTAGGTTAGCTAAATTAGCAGCAGAGCTCACTAACACTAAGGATATACCTACTATTGTAGTGACATTGCCATCAAAATTAAAAGTAATCCACTGGCTCTGCAGTTCCTTAATCACTGGGAGTGCATGAAGACTCTTGTGCTCACTCTTGCAGCCAACAGCAAAACATTTGGTGACCTTTTGGTGTTACCAGAAGCAGCTCTAGAAAGTAAATAAACCTGGTGGACTGAGAGGCAGCTGCTCATTCTGAATGGATTATTTAGAAGCAGGAGGCAGTGAGGCGGCAGGATTATACAAAGTTTGAGCAAGACGACTATTGGTTCCTCAGCTGGGAGCGTAGCAGGTCAGTAAAATTCACTTGTAAAGCTGGAAGGCTGTCTATTTATTGGAGGCTTAATGAATGGCAGTAGTAAATATATTTATTTATTTACATTACTTAACAGCTTTTAGAGCACACGTCCAAGTTTACAACAGCTACAACACTATAAAAATGGATTTTCACCATATCAGACCTTTAAAAAGTCTCAAAAGATGCAGTAGTGTTTGAAAAGTTTGTTGCGGTCGTTCAGTCACTACGCTATATTTTATATTTTGCAACATTTGACTTGAATTTACAGTAAATTAGTTCTACATGAGATTCCCAGAAGATGAACAGCTTTGTACAACAGCTAAAGTTACACAGCTAACTAAAGTCTGACTAATAGTTAAAGCTATGCTACAGTCGCAACATCAGCTGGAATTTGAAACTTTGCATGCAGTGTTTACCAGAATTTTTTTTTTTCACAATCATTTCCTTGTTCCTAACATAATACTGAGATTATGCTAACATTGGTAAGACCTTTTCTGCAGGGCCTTCAAACATTAGGCATTCTGAGGTGACACACTATTTTTTAGCATATGGAATGTTTCATTAGCATTAAACTCAAAGTAGACATTAAAATCTGTTGTGCAAAGTGTTGGGCAGGGGCAAAGTTTCACCCTTTAGGATCACAAAAGTTAATATCATTTTATCTTCTGGGGACAATGAATATCAAACATCTGAATAGTTGTGAAGATAGTTTCTCACCCTGGACCACCGATACATGTGACAGAGAGGAAACCTGAGTTTACATTTAATGTTCATAGAGACTCTTGTCTGTATTTCAGCACCGTAGACAACTCACACATGTTCAAGAGGCTTTAGCTTCACGACAGACTTCTTACAAATAATTAGCAAGAAGAAAAATAACTTCTTCCACAAGCAATGTCAAGTCGAAAAACTTGTCAGTATCTCATATGCATCTGCTCTTATTCACACATAAATCATTCATGGTAGGTACAAACTACAGTCCTTGGTTTGAACCTATCAGGAAAAAGTCAATATAAAGGATTAAACTCGTATTCAGGACATGTAGAATGAAGTTCACAATATTATTTGTTAAGCTGAAAATGATGCAATCAGAAAACTTCTGCCCCGTTTTAGAAAACTACCCCTTTGTTTACGGACTCGGCTCACAAAACGATCTCAGAGGCTTCAGTCCTTTGGAGGACGGTCATTATGGTTCATTAATAATTCAGATGTTTATGTTGCAATATCTCGGCTGAGTTTGTTGAGTCTGTTTATCCACTGAGGCGCAATTAAAATTGTTTTGTTTTTTTTGTTCTAAATACTTTATCAGACACATGAGAAAAGATGTGCAACCTGTCAGAAAGTTTAGAAGATGTAATCCTGAAAGTTTATCTGAATGACAGTTTACTATAGACTACAATAAGAACACTATTTCTGCAGTAAACTTGAATATTTTTCCATTACAGAATAATGCCCCTTGTAACAAAGGGTGACTTTCCAATTCATACATCCAACGGCATAGAAATGTACCAGAAGTATATAAAATGTGTTAACCAAACTTTAGGTATTGTTGATAGTGTGATGTGCAGAGTGTAGGAGGAAACGGAAAACTCAAGACCTCAAAAGAAAAGCTGAATAAATACTCATGTTTGACTTCTTGCACTGTGCACGTGTCTGCAATGAAACAAGCCACCACATTCTGAATAATCTGACATCTTTGAAGTACACAAACCAAACGGGTGATGTTGGCTGCATCCATCTTTAATCATCGTTTGAATTCAAACATTACAAACACACGTTAACAATGATGCAATCACTCAACTCGAAATTAAACAAGGAAAGCATTACATTTCAGAAAATAAAAAAATATGTATATTGTAAAGGAACAGTACAATCAAAACCCAATATTTTCAAATAAAAATAAGGCAAAGCTGAAAGGCAAAAATATCTACAAAACAAAAGCATAATAATAATAATAATAATAATAATAATAATAATAATAACTGTTATATTTTCCTTAATTGGCTGTTAAATTGGACAATGATGTTGATGAATCTTGAAACATTTCTTCTACGGCTGCTGGCTATATTTAGACTGAAAACTGGAAATTAGCTGTAAGAAAGAAAAGACAGTGTCATGAAATAAGACAAGACTTCATGTTTCTCTCCACTTTTGCATCCAGTTTTCTAAACGTTATTTTGCTCCAGTGTCCTTGTAACTCTCTAAGATGAACAGGTAGACAGAAGGAATAAAATCTAAATTCAAAATACTGCTGAGTTTCAATTTTACAAAAAAATTACAATTAAATAAAACGACTGTTACGCTACACGTAATCATTAAACCTATTGGAAAACTAACAACAGCTTTCTACTTCAAAAACATCTCGGCAGTCCCTCTCTGTGCCAAAAACACAGAAACCATCACAGACGCCACTTGCTTGAACTTTCTGAGAGACGGAGAACCGATTTGTTTCCATCGTTTGCTTTGATTCTGGGATTTGGGATCAAAGTGGTGAACAGATGTGTCATTCTGAGTCACGAATCTCCTGAGGAGTTTGGCTGCATCATCCTGATAATGAGCCAAAACTGTCTTTGAAATTTCCCATTCTTTTTCAACTTTTGATCTGGTGTCCTTGGGGTGCATTCCCTTTTCATGCAGACACCTGATTATAGATTTGGCTTCTTTCTCTATTATTTTTTTTTTTAGTTTTCCTCCAACTTACTGATTTTAAAAGGGCATCATCGGCAAAAAAACATCTGAGTTTTTGTGGACAGTTATATAAGGCTTTATAATATGCCTCAAAGTGGGAGCTACTGCCTTTGTTTCCGGATGAAGCCGAGAACTTCTAATTTAATTGGAAGTCCACTTACCACAGGTATCCTTCCTTAAACTCGGTGAATTTGTGCCGAACCATAAATGTTGCTAGAGCATCTGCTACCTAGTGACAGATGACAGAGGAAGTAAGTCATAAAGAAAACCATATGTGCAAATTTGAACTAACATGAGCATCACACATCCTAAAAAAAATCTCTCCAAGTATCTGACATATGAAGCTAAACTTTCACAGGTATCTCCATAAATATTCGCTGTTTATGACGGTTGAACAGCAGACCCCTGGTGATTTGAGATGGCTGTGTTTGATGCATTTCAGGTATAAATCGCGTTAAAAGACCAAAACCTGCACCGTCTATGACTCCACGAACAGTCCATGCGTCTGCAGAAACCACGCGGCTCGTCCTTTGCGTTGGATTTTCGAGATTGCCGACAAAAACATCAGACAATATGTAAAGTACAGTGAGTATATGTTGAGATAAGAAGCACTTACTTTCTCAGGTGCGTCCTCATGAACAGCATGACCGCACTGAGGGAGGACCTGCATCTGAAACTTCCCTGTGCACAAACACTGAGATTCTTAGTGTTTCTGAGACCAGAGTATTCTACAGTATAACATAAAACATGGAAGAAAACCAGAATTTACACATTATAAATGATTTGTGCTCTTTACCTTGCATCTGTCCAATAGTAAGGTCTTTGTCAAGCCTGTCCACTCCTGCACAATGGAACAAGTCAGGGGTGAAATTGTGCAGTCAATGGCAAAATTGCTTGGAATACAACTTGAATCATTAGTGCTCATCCAACGACTAAAAGGGACTTTGCTTCTAAACTACCTGTCCAGATGAGTTTTATACACGGAGTACTAAAAAATAATAATGCAAGTTTACTGTGAATAAATGTAAAAAAATAAATAAAAATCGAACCTGCAAGCAGGAGCAGTTTTGGCGCAGGGCAGGTGAGAAAGAGGGCAGACAGGCCTCTGAACCAGCCCTCCCAATATTTTTCCGTCTTTGACAACTCCACTCGCCAGGTGAAGATGCTCTCCTTTTTTATCTGCAAGGAAGAAATCAGCATTTTAAAGTAAGTTTTCAACCTCTTTCCAAACACATACAGGCTACATGAGAAAGACAGAGAGACGGAACCTCTTGGTCATCTTCCTTCATTCTTTTCTTGTTGGACTCTTCTTCCGCTTCCTCATCCTCCTCTTCTTCTATAATTCCTTCACCAATGCTATTCGAGACTCCTGGGCTGCTGGTGGATTCCTCACATCTGGATGTCAGAACAAAAGGAATGTAAAATACAGTCAATAACCCCACACAGCTCTTAACGTACAGACGAGAGATGGAGTAAACGTACTTCTTCACTTGGCCCCCCATTGACACCCGAGCTGACTCTATGTTTCGGATCTGACCACTCTTCACACTGAAAGCAAAAAAAAAAAGAGTTTTCGACACTTGAGATTGATTTCATGCTTGGATCTCTATGAATGGAGGCTCTATAAAGTAAAGCTGGAAAGAGAAAACAAAAACACAGCACAACAAGGCTCCTATTGATCTGAGGAAATCTTTTTGGCCACACTACAGAAGCGTACAGTGCAGTCCAATTACACTTCCACCATGTTGCGGTATGACTAACTGGTAAATGCTTACCTCCACTCAATGGCATTCTCCAGAGATTTAAACGTTTTTGGCCGACTTCTGAGGAAATTCTGCATACTGTTCAAAGCATCCATTGCTGTGCCTGAATGAAATTAACACAACTATTTGTCATGAACAAACCTAGCAACACTGAGCTCATCATCTTTATTAATCATCATCATTTAGATGATCTGCTCATGTGATGTGAAATATGAGCTAAAAACAAAGAATATAAGGACGTTCTTTGCTCAGATATGATGCTCCTTTTAGAGAATGTGCAAAAACGTACCTTCTACGACATCAATGACACACAGGCCGAGCAGGGATGGTATGTGATTGGCAGCGGCTGTGTGAACTGCGATGGCTCCACCCATGCTGTGTCCAATAATCATGATTGGAGGTGGGTTCTCCCCATAGAGTGCCTCCACCACTTTGCCAATATCCCTTTAAAAAGGAAAAGAACATTTTATCTGTTAACATTGTTACATGTCTATCCTATGAGTCAGAGTTTTCAGTCACTCTATATTTGATTTATTTAACTATCCTTTTACTCTGAATTGAATGCACTGTGAAATCAAGACTTTTTAAGGATGCACTAAAACACTCGCTGCCCTTAGCTTGGGAAGTGTAGAAATTAAAGCCGATTGTGGGTCAACATTCATTTAACTATTTACAGTCTTGTCAGCCCTACAGGATCATCACTGCCCTCTATGCTTTCCTGTAGTTTTGCAAATCGCAAGGCAATTATTTTGAAAGTAGTTTCCACCAAACCGGTGTCTGTCTTAAGTGCACACACACAACAACTTACTTAGCCATCGTGTCTGCAGAGAGATCTTCAGGATTTTTCACTTTGGTGTCGCCTGCAGGTGTTGACAGAAAAACCCATTTCAGCATCTGTTGCATCTTAGCTCATGAAGAGCATCATCAAGAGTGACCTGTCAGATACTGCTGTGACCAGCGCAGAGATGTGATCAAGCTACTTTGGTACAACAATTTCCTTTCCTAATCATTTGCAGTACTGGAGCTGCTTTTGAAATAAAAATCCAAAATGAACTGATGTCATTTTGCTGTTATTAGAAAATACAAAGTGACTGTTAGTTTAAGTCATCACATACAGTACAAATATTCAGGATAGTTTTTTATAGTCTGTAATGCAGATGGGATGCAATGGTAAACATAAACAGTACAATCAGCTCATCTCAATTTCTCATTTAGAATGACACATAATTATAGGATGTCTATATGTACATGCAGTTCCATGACATCTGCATTCCCTAACCTATGAAAAATATATGCCTAGCAATTAATACTGTGTCCTGCAACTACCTATATTTACCGTGAGCTCGAAGGTCCATAGCCACCACCCTGCAGTTGATCCTGTTGTATATGACGGCCTGCAAAGATACACACAGGAACAATTAAAACCCAAAAGTGTTAAGTGAATGAGTTGAGATTTTTAAAAATTATTACTATTGTAGAGCAGAGTGTTTGTGTTAGTCGTAATAACAATAATGCTCACAGTGAACACTGCCCAGGAAAGTGCAGAGTGGCCGCCTCCATGGAGCAGGAGCAGCACAGGACCATGGGAGCCACTGCAGTAAATTCTGAAAATGTTCAAGGTAGTCAAGGAAATACAAACCAGAGCTGTTCACAAGGTAAAGATGTTGCTCCAAACAGAGCAAACTTTAATGTTTCATAGCATCTTAAAGTTATATACTGCAGCACATTGGTATGAAGAAGCAGCTAAGTCTGAATTGACCTCGTTGGATTCAAGTGACACATCAAAGCATCGGTCATTCATGTGGAATCTCCTCCTGACAAACAGGAGCAGCAGTCAAGGATATATCTTTGCCATTTTCATTTTCCACCTCAACATCTTCCATGGTCTCAAAGTACTGACTCCAGGGCAGGGGGGAGAAATCTCTCTTCCGTCCAGGTCTGTACAAAGCAAAAAGCAAGAAAAATGTGAATCAGTGTGTGTCTGGTGTGTTTCAATATTGCAGCAGGATCATTAGACAGCATAGAAAAATGGATGTTCAATTGCAAGACAGAAATCTTTGGAATGTGTCTCTCCGAAGAAAGGACAAACTAGCTCTTTGATCACTTTTTTTTTACATTGATAAATGCTGCAACATTGAAAGACAAAAGATTGTTAAAGATTACAAACCATTCTCAGTGATCTAGGGGTCAACCGTTTTTTCTTTTATAAGACCGATGGCAGTAATAAGCAATCAAGGAGACAAATAATCAATATTTGGAACTGATTTTCTGAACAACTGCTGTAAAAATTATGATCACAACAACACAAAGTCCAACTCAAAACTGTGTTAAAATGTATGTTTGATTAAAAGAGAACCTTTAAACCACATCTTTTGGTAACTGTAATCTATCACTTGTGTAATAACCGATCAGTTTGTGCTGTGGGCAGGACGCTGCTTGGGAGCATGAAAGGGTGACCACAGATAAAGAGAGGAGGCTGCTGAAGTAGTGCGTTTTGAAATTATTTTTATTGGGCATTGGTTGAAATATAAATAAAAAAAGTGCTGGTTATTGTAAAACAACAACAACAACACAAAAACCTAAATATCTGATTCAATAACAAGCCTGGCCACTGTTAGGAAAATTCTTCAGTGGAGTACAGATTCTGAACAAGTGACTACAGATTCAAGAAACGTCGTAGCATTTATACAGGCATACAAAAGATTTCTCCTCTGCTCACATCTGCTAAGCACAGGCTTGGTTACTTTTTTGCAAGTTCTGTGCACGTTATCTTTCACGGCCTTCTGTATTTCAAGAGTTGGACAAAGAGCACTGAATCATAACATATAACACTGAATTTGTATGACACCTACATTGAGCTGATGGTTACAATTCAGTTAACTATGCCTGAAATCTGTTTCCTCTGCTTTGATCATCTGCTTGCAACATCTCCAGCTTGACAGCCACATGATGACAGTGCTCAGACCTCATGACAAGGATATTCAATAGTACTGCAGTAAAATATGAACTTCATCAAAACACTCAGCAACAAGATATTGTTTTAACCTTCAACCTTTACCTCAACTAAAAACAGTCACACTGACTGAGCTGTTGTAATGTGCTGCCTGCTGGGTACACCGCTGACCTGAAACCACAGACCCATCACAGAGCTGCATTTTCAGGGTCATATTTTTAGGGTTTGTTGGCTTCGCTTCAGTTTTTCTACACACTGTAAAGAGCCTGCTTAAGGTTTTATTCAGATTCAAATATAGAGGCGTGTCAAGACATGTACGGGCATAGGTACACTTTTACAAGAACTAAAAACAACTACTTTAACAGGTAAACAAGCGTAGTAAACAAGCCCGTCCAGGCAGGCTGTGCAGATAGAAACTGGAGAAGGTACAAATCTTGCAGCTAGACCTGTTAGCAACATAAGCTAACCTAGTTAGACAGACACTAGTGTTTGGAGAGACAGCTTTAAATGTGTTGTCATGAATGTTTCACTACCGCCATGGAGTTCAATAGATAAATGCCCGACATGTATCCATCAAGAAGCAAGAAAAGCGACGTCAATTTAATATAATGTAACATGTTTATATGCCAAAGCTACTAGCTAAAATAAACCGTACTGTACAACAGTGATGGTCTAACTCTGGTAGCAGCAGCTAGCTTAGCCTGGCTAACGCAGACAGTCTGTGCTGTCATTTGACGAACTGTAAAGATACGAAAACACTCCGGAGCTTTTGTCTCCAAACCAGCGGAGGTGACGGTCAACGCAATTAAACGTGACTTAAAACGCCAACACAGTTGACATCATGTCATCAGGATGCTAGCTCACTCACCCCATTTTCATTTTGGAGCTGGACTGAAAACCACCTGCCGTAGGAGGTCTGGAGGCTAGCAGATTCAAGTGTAACTGTTTCTCCATGGTGTCAGAAGTGGGCTCGGTCTCTGTCAGGAACTGCTTTTTAAGACCTTCCCTCTCTTTCGCAGCATAAGATTTTCTTCGACACCTGCGCCGACGTTAGCCACACATTGGATAAATTGCGTTTCTCTGACAAGCTAACAGCTAGCGCTTTTCTTCTTCTTCTGCTACTGCTGCAGTGATTATATTTGGATGTCTCTTCTTCGTTGTTTTGTTCCCCCAGTAGGTTAACATGGACACCACTGCCCTCTACTGGTCATACAATCATCTGCAGTGGAGGTTCACGGCCTTTTATTCAGCAACATTTGTATTATATATAATATCGTAGGGTCTTATCTTAATATTGAACTGATTCACATAATTTACAGTGTATTAATGGTAATATTTTAATTAGTTGGTTTTTTGTGTGATAAATAATATTGCAGGGACTTAACATTAATATTGAAATTGGTCAGCTAAATTAATAAAAAATAAACAATATCATCAACTTTAAATTAAAATTAGTCAGGTAAATTAGTAAAATAAATAAAAAATAAAATAAATTATATTGTAATGCCTTAAACTTTATATTTAAATTATTCAGGTAATTTTATATAATCTGTAATATATACGGGTCATAAACTTTATATTAAAAGTATGCAGATGGATTTGTATAAACGTCATTGAATAGCCTTAACATTAATATTTAAATTAATCAAGTAAATGTTTATAACCAATAATATTGTAAGGCCTCAAATGTTATATTTATGGTAGTCAGGTAAACTTGTAAATACATTAATATTGTAGGGGCTTATATTTTATATTTTCATTCATCAGGTTTATTTGTATAAATATTACTGTAGGGTCTTGAAATTAAGGTTTGAATTAGTCAGGTAAATCTTGGCAATAAATAATATCTTAGGATCCTATATTTTAATGAGGTAAATTTGTATAATAAATAATATTGGTCTTAACATTCATATTTAAATTATTCTGCTAAATGCATATAATAATACTATTATTGTATTGTAGTGTCTTAATCACAGTATTCATATCAGTCAGGTGAATTTGTGTAATATATTATATTTTAGGGTCCTAACAATAATATTTTAATTCTTCAGGTCAATTTATATGATAAACAATATTGTGGGGTCTTAGTTTAATGTATTTAACCTTGTTAGGTACATTGGCAATATTATCCTATTACTCTACTGGAGAGTACTCAGTGTCTGTTGTTTTAAATAAAGCAGTTTTTCCTGCAGAAGCTACAACTGGCCTATTAATATAAAATAATAAAATGACAATACACAATTGAGGGCAATGGAATAACCTCTAGTTTACGATACATTTTTTGAACAGAAGGTGGCAGCAGTGCATTCTTTACCCCGGCCACTGAGACTGTTTGCTCCAACAGTTCCACACTTGAGGTTCCGTTTACTCACTGTGCTTAAACCAGAAGTGTAGTGCCCTCTGTGGCTCTGAGGGAGCTTTATCTAGCTAGTCTAAAAAAAAAAGAAAGACCCTAAATGATGTCACAGTAATGTCATCAAGGCTGCCTCACCTTTGGACTGCAGACTGCAAGGCCTGAATGACAGGCTAGGTCTACTGAGTCTAAATGATGTGGGCGTTTATTAGGCTGGGAGTTCTAACAAAAGAGTTGCATTATGGGAAACATATTTTCTAGAACTTAACCATAAAAAAAAATTAAAACGGAAAAAGTAAAAATAATGAGCCAGCAAAAACATGCAGCTATTGAAACATGAAAATCATTGATTGGACCGCCGCTTTATAAAGCAGTTATTGAGCAGTCGTTGTTATTCAAAGGGGGACATTTGAGAGACTTGCAAATGCAGTTACATAAAGACTATGTTATCAGAGCCGATCGACGACAGCTGTAGACTTGCTAATTTGCAAGTAATCGAGACACAGGAGTGGACAGGAACAGGTGAAGGTGAAGAACAAAGTGGCTCAAATACAGACGGGTGACAAAGTGAAGGAAAAATCTGAACCCTTGACCCCATCAATGAGGGGGTCGAGTGGCTCTAGTGTGGGAGGAAACGGTTTGATTAATGAATCACATGCGATGGTTTACACCCAACTAAACACCACCATTATCATAACAGCAAACAATGGAATATCTTCTGGAAGACTGATGTTTATCCCTCCAGAGAATTGGTGCATTGGAGCCCATAGTGACCCAATAAGACAATTTGTGTTGGTTTTTCCTTTAATTTGTCAGCCATCTCTATGCACTGTAATATATGGTTAAAGAAAAAAAAAAGTAGAATAGTTATGAGTGGGTTTGCTGCACTTTTTACATGCTGAAATGATCAAATAATGGAATAATGTGGTCCCTCTGCTAACAAGCTCGCCTCTATCTTTGGAGAATCAAGACTCATTGAAGCTGTTCTGGCGACATGTGGTGGCCCAACCCCTTACCAAAGACGCTTTATACTGACTTTTTCTTTAATTCATCAAAAGCGTTTTAAGTGATCTAATCCTTGTGAGCAGTAAATTGAACCACCACAGTAAAGCAGGGTGATGGCCTTTCCTACCTGAGCAGATTTCAGTTTGTTTCCCTAATTCATACTATTGTCTCTTTTGTCTTCCTCTTTTTTCATATGTCAAGTACTTTGGTATTATAATCTCTAATTTCATTATTTAATACTGAGGAACAAATTTCTCGGAAGACGTTCTGCTTTTTTAATTCAGCTGCTCCTTGTTGTGTATGTTAACAATGATGGAATATTCTTCTTCTGCCAAGCATCTGCAGATCATCTTGTCATTTATAGTATCATCTCTATAGTCGCACATCAACACATTTTCACTTCCGTGGTTCAGTGTCGGGTAAATGGATTCACTGTGGTTCACACCAAACATACCTGACCCTGTCCCAAAGAGCAAGCAAGGTATTTTTCCTGGACACCACCCATAGAGCTGATGTTATGCAATGTGTTTCACGCTGTCTGAGTCGTGATGCAAACACTGATTTCCATTTATAAGCCCAGTGTCACATCTGAATCACCTGCTTGTCTGTTTTTCAGAAATGAAGTGTTCAAGTTACACCCTGTCCATGATGTAATTTGTAGGAGGAGGAACACTGCAGCTCTAATCAGTGGCACTATGGGTTGTTCTCTAGCTTCTGATCACTGCTGTAACTGTATATTGACTGATTTTTAGTTGACCACCCTGCAGTTGATCCTGCTGCACATGACGGCCTTCAAAGATACATAAAGGAACAATTAAAATCCAGTAGTGTACAATGAATATGCTGAAATAAAAGAGCAACTTCATAAATATTCCGCACTATGTTGGTGTCAAAAAACATAGCAGCACAGGACCACAGGGGCCACTGCAGTAAGTTCTGAAAATGTTCAAGGTAGTCAAGGAAATACAAACCAGAGCTGTGCAGATTCTGCTCAAAACAGAACAAACATTAATGTTCTGTAGCACGTTGAAGTTACATGCTGTGACGCACCGGTATGAAGAAGCAGCTAAATCTGAACTGACCTAGTTGAATTCAAATGACACATCAAAGCATCAATCATTCATGTGGAATTTCCTCCTGACAAACAGGAGCAGCAGTCAACGATACGTCTCTGCCATTTTCATTTTCCATCTCAACATTTGCCCAGAAAACTAAAGGAACTAAGCTGTTACTGGTTTGATTCAATACTGCAGCAGGATCATTAGAATATGTAGAAAAATGAATGTGCGATTGCAAAACAGAAATCTTTGGTCTGTGTCTCTGTGAGAAAGGACAAACTAGCTCTCTATCTACCTATTCACACTTTAGAATTAGTTGAAGTGAACACAGGTTTTCTAACTTGTGTGCCAGTGATTACGAGTGTATTGTCTACTTTGGGCTCTGCATATTCAACATAGTCTTTATAAAGTTTTTGTGATCATTCATAGGAGAAAATACTTTACTGTTGCACTTGACACATGATGTTGCTGAGGGCTGCACTCTCTCCTGTTGTATCCTGTATATACAAGACATTCTTTTCATCTTTGGCTTTCAGTCATCGCTGACAAAAACCTGAGAATAATCTCCTCTTAAGACATGAGTAGACATCATATTTTGGGTTATATTACCACAGTAGTTAATTTTAAATTAAAAAAAAAAAAAAGTGTATTATTTTATTATTATTACTTTATCATTGGGCTGCACCTTTGACTCGCAGCAAGAAGGTCGCCAGTTTGCGTCCCGGTGAGGACACCTGGGATCTTTCAGTGTGGAGTTTGCATGTTCTCCCCGTGCAGCGTGGGTTCTCTCCAGGTTCTCCGGCTTCCTCCCACAAGGTCCAACAACATGTTGAGGTTAATTGGTGATTCTAAACGTAGATGTGAATGTGAGTGTGTTTGGTTGTGATGAAGAAAGACATTCTTTTATTTTCATGATGATGAACAAAGTCGTTCTGTTTTCTTTTGATGGTCACCAGACCCTTGTATTCCACCTCCTGTTGCCATCCCATCACCTTTTGTCATGCATTTCCTACCTCCTATCACAAACCCCTGGTTCCACTCCCTGTTGTTCATTGTCCGCTTACCTCCTGCCATTTCATTAACAGCTGTATGTTAACTAACCACTATTCACTTCTGTATTTACATACAGGCCCTCCCCACCCTCTGACTCACCCTGTAAAATGTGCGACACTGCAGATGTTCGGGGTCGGTTTACCATCACAGATTCATGCTCTGTGTTGGTAAGCCCAACGTATACCAGAATACTAATGAACACCCACTATAGCAAACTTCACATGAGGACTATGGGTAAAGTTTCTTCAACAGTTGTCTGTCTCTAAGTGTAGCCCTGTGATAGACTGGTGACCTGTACAGGGTGTCTCCTGCCTTCACCCTGAGTCAGCTGGGATAGACTCCAGCCCCCCCACGACCCTAGTGAGGATTAAGCGGTGTTTTGATTTGTGAGCTATAGTCCTGATCTGTTTTCTGTTTCTTCTAATAAAAGCTGAAATAAAAACTAAGCTTGGAGAACAATGAAGGCAACCAAAACAAAGTATGAGCAATTAGCACACCGTTAAGTCATTCCTGGTACGTTGGGCCATTTGTTGTCTTGGTGAAATATCTCTCTGTGTGTGTTGTGAAATACTGTATGTCGAAATGAACTTCGAAAGTTTTTGATGAGGTTGGAAAAACACTAAATTGGGAGCCAGGTACATCGTGTTCAGATTGTTTACAGCATTTTCTAAATAATAGGAGAAAAAAACATGTGAAATAACAATGGAGATTTATTAATCTTCTCTTATTTAATCATTTGGTTTAATAAAATCAAGAAAATCTGAGCTAAGATGTGAAGGGAATTGACGAAAAACAAACTTGCTGAGAGATTCCCCTGTGCCCCAGTAACCTTTAAGTGACGCATTGGCTGGCTCTATTTCCAGAGTGATGCTCAGTATTTATAGTGTAATGGAGATTATCTCTTTCACAGCACTGATTCAAGGTTCGTGGTATTCAAAGTGGTGACGGGAGTCTGTCTGCTCAGTTTCATTTTCAGGAGGGCTGCTGGGGAGGTCACTGCTGACTGGTTGAAGCCGGACCAATGACTTGTTTACTGATCGGGCTGCGTGCTCAAAGGTTACTGACACTGTGTTCATAGGACACTGTTTTCAGTGTCGGGCGAAGAAAGCAGGTGGTGCTTTCTTCTGTATATTTCACGGGGGGGTACTAAATGCAACTGAAATACACTGTAAATGGATCATTTCCCCTTGAATTCTTCACAATTTCTACTTAACTCTATCTACTGCATATTTTAGTTAAGAAAGACCCTTTATTGTTAATAAATATGTAAAATAATGACAAATGTACAAGTGTAGGACATTTCAGAAGCCAGACTTTTGCCTTGTTTTCAAAAACTTCAAGGGTTTTGGGAAACTTGTCACATGAAATATGAAATATTAGTACACAGGAATATATTTACATTCCACAGAAAATGCAGCAGTATATGAAAAAAGCCCACAAGTGTTATGTTACAAAATGAAAAATTAGCGGTGGCGTTTGGGGAATAGAACAACACCCCAGCACATGTACCAGCAGCTGAAACTTTAGATGTTCGGAGGAGGAGGTTTTGCATAGTCAACTGTACGACATGACGCTAGCTTGAGGGGACCGTGACCTGGAGCTGCAATGGAAAGTCACATGTATAGAGGCATGCACATACAGACCTCCAGCACTCTACCTATGAAGTGTCTCCCCTCTCTAACACTTCCCATCTGACATCCTGTCTCCTTGTTGGGTGCTGCTGCTCTGCCTGAGTTTGAATGATTGCATTCAGATGCTGTGTGCATCCACCCACTCTTGTCCATCGAATGGATTGGCCGAGAAGCACGGCGGTTCCTTTGCTTGGAACGTTTCATAACCTTTATTGCTTGCAGGGAGGAGGGAGGAGGGAATTCCTAAAACTCCTGAAGTGCTTTTGAATTTCATTGTGGTACATTAGCACCAAGCGGAGGATGTGGTGCAAACGTTATCCAGCAGAGAACCCTTTTCAGCCAGTCGAGTGCCCAATAGAAACACTCTGAGAATCCAGACAGGCCTCTCAATCTGATTGGCTGCTTAAATCAACCAATAAAAAATGAGATACGCTCTGCTTTGTCAGTTCTGTAATATGAGCTGCTGTCTTGGCACGTTTAAGCAAAACTTCTGGATTTAAAACTTGAAATTAATAAAGTCATAATATTTCGAACAGGTAAATTTTTCAGTAAAATCAGCTGCAAAATTACACAAAAATATACTAAATGTTTACATCTGCTCATGTGGTCCATACCAGGCTGCCGTTGTGACACCGTTAGGAACTGATCAACAAGTGCTCAGATATCCGGCTGTGTCTCACAGACTGGTAAACATGAGATTCCCATAACAGGTGTGTACAACTTGTTAGGTTGCCTGCAGTCATGTGTGAAAGGTGCCTATAAATTGAGCGGCTACTTCCACAGGGGAACAGTGAGTCCACAGCATGAGGCAGGAAGCAAGCACCCCAAAGGGACTATTTACCTAAAGGATTGTATATTTTTATTTCTCTTTGCTGGATTATAACTTTCTTGGAAAACATTCAAGGTAAAATGTACATCAGGATATCAGTCATTTAAAAAAAAAAAAAAAAGATAAAGCTTATTATGGATTCAGACTCAACTACATCACAAGTAGTGGATTAAAATGTAAAATATACATATTAAATGTTTAAAGTGTACACGTTTTATATGTTATATACCTGCAGTATACTGTGATGTATCACTCATGAAATCAAAAGTACAAACTGTCCATAATTCACAGTGATGAATGTTTGTTTTTCAGTGAGTGGTGGTATGCTGACCTGCCTTTTTCAAAGAGCGTTTATGGCCCACGGCATTTCCACGACAGAACCACTTGCAAAGACTAGTCTACTGCTGGAGAAAACTTGAAGCTTGTTGTTATTTTCACTTACAGGTATGCACGACTTCTGGCATGAACACTTTAAGTCATACTAAATCGCTCAATAACTAAATATTACTTAGACACAGTTTTTTGTTTTTATCGGAATAGACAAAAGTCATTCAGTGTGGAGAAACATGAAGTTGTTGTCCATGTGTGTCTGTCTTAAGCTGAGTAATGATCTTCTTCGGTGCACTTGCTGTGTGTGTTCTAATATAAGGTTGTGGAAAAATAGCATTAAGAGCACATCTTTCCATTTATGTCATCAGCCAAGGCTTGAAATGGTTGGCGTGAAACCCAAAGACATGGTGCCCTCTGCGGCTGTCAAGTTCTTCGGAGCGGGTACCGCCGCCTGCATTGCTGACCTCGTCACCTTTCCATTAGATACTGCCAAAGTCAGACTACAGGTGAGACATATAGTGTTGAAGAAAAGCTTTCCTTTCCAAATACGTCTTATTAAACTTTTTATCACTGTGCTAATGAGAGTGCTTAAATGTCATTCTGCCGTCCAGATTCAGGGAGAGTCTCAGAAGGCTGCAGGCGGCGGTGCAGTGAAGTATCGGGGGGTGTTTGGTACCATCACCACCATGGTGCGCACAGAGGGGCCCAGGAGTCTCTACAACGGCCTGGTGGCGGGACTCCAGAGGCAGATGAGCTTCGCCTCCGTTCGTATCGGCCTTTACGATTCAATGAAGCAATTCTACACTCGTGGCACTGAGAGTGAGTATCAGGTCCCTCTGGAGGTACATGAACATGGTAGTTTCTCTGCTGCGGTGTCGTTGTGACTAACACACGTGTTGCACAGGTGCTGGGATTGTGACTCGGCTCATGGCGGGCTGCACCACGGGGGCCATGGCTGTGGCTTTTGCACAACCAACAGACGTGGTGAAGGTGCGTTTCCAAGCCCAGGTGCGACTGGCTGACGGCGGGAGGAGATACAACAGCACTCTGGATGCCTACAAGACGATCGCCAGAGATGAGGGCGTGCGAGGGCTTTGGAAAGGTACTCGTCTCACCTGTTTGCTTCAAATTTCAATTAATCATAAGAATTCCTTCCACTGATTTTGACTTAGCTATCCTCTGCTTTCTTCCAGGCTAATTACTTATCCTTCTCCATACCTCTATCACTCAGGTACAGCTCCAAACATCACCCGTAACGCCATTGTGAACTGTGCAGAGCTGGTGACCTATGATATGATCAAAGAACTCATCCTGAAGTACGACCTAATGACGGGTGAGACAGCAGAACACTATCAGTCCAGAAAACATCTTAGATATCCAATATACAAACTACTAAATACTGCTCCAGGATGTGACTTTGCCTCTGCTCTCCCGCAGACAACCTGCCGTGTCACTTCACAGCTGCCTTCGGTGCAGGTTTCTGCACAACAGTGGTGGCTTCTCCGGTGGACGTAGTGAAAACACGGTTCATGAACTCAGGAACTGGTCAGTACAGCAGCGCAGTCGGCTGCGCTCTGACAATGCTGAAAAATGAAGGACCTACAGCCTTCTATAAAGGGTAAATACACACCAAAATGACAATGAAGCAACTTAAACAAAAAATAACTCTTTGGGACACTTCTTGACTTCTCTTTCCTTTGTTTCCTTTAGGTTCATGCCGTCGTTCCTGCGACTGGGGTCCTGGAACATTGTGATGTTTGTGACTTATGAACAAATAAAACGAGGTATGACCAGAGCACAGCAGTACTGGGAGTCACCGTTTTGACAGCAGGGATCAGAAGCTGTTTTTGACACAACGGTCTAACATGCACCACAATGCGGTGGTGACTAAGGGTTGGAAAAAGGAGACCTGTAGGAGGCCCAAAGCATCGAATGCTTTCGGGGCCATCGGTCACATTACTGACGTGGCTCGGAGGTGGACTTTACGTAATAAAGACTTGTGGCAGGGAGACTTTTGGGTCATCGGTGCAATACCAGATGTAAGGATTGGAGTATGAAGAGACATTGAATGTTTTGTAATGGTCAGTACTTCCATTGCAAGAAGCTCCTTCAGGTATTAAAGATGGCTGTGAAATGTTTAATCCGGAGGTTTGTGGCTGTTTGAAGGTGACGTTTACAAGAATGAACTGATAGCTCATGTGATTGATTTGAACATGTATAATATTTATATGGCGTAATATTTATGTTTTTGTGAGTTTTCAATGCAAACAAAAGAGATACTGAAACCTAAACAGTGACCATTTCTACAGTATGTCCTTTACATTGTCGTCTGTGTTGTGAATTGTTTACACTGTTCAGTATTGTTTGTGGTTCGTAGTCAGGGATCTGTAGTTGAATGTACACGATTCTCATGGTCAACTGTATGATTTGTTGCTGGTCGATGAGTCGTGATCATGTTACGCACAATGAAACGTGATGTCAAAATCAATAAAGTGGTCTTTTTCCCCCTTTTGTCTGTCATTCGGTTTAACGGAAGCTTTGATAGTTGTGTTATAACAAATGAATCATGAAATACTATTTAAATAGTGATTAGTCACTTCAGAGGAGGTGAAAGCTTTTTTTAGAAAGTTGATACTGTGGGATTTAAGCGAGGCAGTATTCAGCTTTAAGGTGGTAGAAATCTGCATTCAAAAGTCTTAAACAGAATTTACTTCACATCTTTTACTTGAAGAATGATGATTTTTCAAAAATCTTATTGCAAATTCAACATGTCACTTGTATGAACAAATAAACAATAGATTTTTAAAAAAATTTGGTTTCTGATCATTGAAACCAAACACCAAGCCTTCATGGTTAAATTAAAATCTCTCTCCAGTCAATGATAAAACCCCTAAAAACTGTGTGTCTGACTAAACGCCGTTTTGTTTGGAGTGTCTTGGAACATTTGCACCTGCTGTTGTTGCTGCATTTTCACAACTGGGTCAGACACATATAGAAGCTCAGCGGCGTTGTGCTGCTACATGTACGGGACAACATGTACCCAAGCATGCTCATTTACAATACATACATTTCATCAAATATGACAACTCTCTGGTCGTATTTGCTGAGCTCTAACTAATAAGACAATGCTGTCAGGGTCCTATGAAGGGAACATAAAGTCTAACTATTCAGACACACAATATTATGTGGCTTCATTTGCAAAAATGTGTATTGAAAATAAAAACAAAAACTCCTCATTGTGCTTTTGCCTACTTCACAGTATTAACAGTATGCTTCAACTTAACACCTAATGAATGCAGGAACAACGCGCCATGGAGCACGTTTAAACCAAAAATGTGGTGAGACCATTACCCGTCTGAACATATGGCTCTCATTTGGCATGCAGTGTGCTATGTGTTCTTGTGTTTTCAGCATGACTCAGCATCTCCTCTTAAAGTCTGATAATGCCACACAAAGCCCCAAGCAAGCAACAGATGTAATTATATGAATTTAGCAAGTTAAAAAAAATCTGCTTTACAGAACTTCACAAAGTAAAACAGAACTAGTGTCAGACGTTTGATGCTGCTGTTGGTGTGAGGACACAACAGAGAGGAGTTTAAATTATGAAGTCAATAAACAGACAAATGTGTGCATCAGACAAATGCAACGACAGGCGGTTTCTCACATTTATAGTCTGTCCATCTGACCTGTAGGCAGCCACCATGGGTATAATTGGAGCGGGGCCCCATCAGTAACACATGCCATGATGTAACAGCATCATGGCAGTATTTAAGGAGAGGGCTCTGTTCCTCACACTACTGTATCCTGTCCGCTTCAGCTCCAGCGGTTCATTTGGATATTGGGAGGCATTTCCACTTTTCACAAATCAAATCACGGTACAATCAAACTCTTTCACATGACTTTCTTTCCTGCAATCCTGGCATTATTGTTAAGGTTCTGTTACACTGCTATGTTTGCTTTTGTTTTTTTTTTTAAGCTTCTTTCTGCTTTTCAGGATTCGGAGTATGATTTTACGGCTCTTCCCTTTTGAAAAATCTTCTATGGAAAAACAAGGAAACCAATTCATAGCTGGGACAAAGTTTAGCCAAAGGGACACCTTTAGAGAATCTTGATCTCTAATGTTTCTGTCCTAAACGGTTCCAGGAAGGGTAAGAATTACTAACTAAAGTTATTCATTACAAAGATGTGATATATGTATATACTTCTATTGTTGAATTTTCAAAGCTTTTTCTTTGTTCTTGTGAGGGCACATAGTGTACTTAACAACTGTCTTTATTTCAGCATCACTAAAGCCTCCACTTAAGGATGTTGCTTTGTCTTCATGGACTTGTTAATCAGTTAAGCCCTGAGCTATTTTCCAGGCCTCTGCTTGAAAATTTACATACCCATAATAAAAACAGTTCATCTCTGCAACCACAAGGTCTATTTGAATAATTATTGTGTCATAATAACAGGAACACTTGTAAGATTTGTTCAGTCATGTAAATATCAGTATATATGTTCCTGGTTAAGAGTAAATGAAGATGGCACACAGCACAAATGAAACATTTTCAGGTTTGCCTAAAAAAAAAAGAGAGAAAAAAAAGCACTTTCAGGATAATTATGTCTTTGCAATGATCCACCTGCAGCTCTAAACCTCTCCCAGACCATAGCACACTATGTGATCATTCTCTCTGCAAAGGTTGACTCTGAAAAAGTGAAGCAGAACTAAATTGCAAAGTTTTTAGTACAGGCAGTTCAGCCACACTTTGGCACATTTTTGCACAGTTGTGACCATCTGAATGTTCTTAGGTACAAACTATATATTTCACTTGTGGTTTGAACATTCAACCAGTCTGTGTTACGCGTCCTGTGCGTGATGCTGATCAGACTGCTGTGGAGCTGAAGCTGTGGAGCTGCGGAGCTTTCAGTGATTGACATTGCCTTCAAATCGTTAGAGCCAATAGAATATAGCGATAGCCACCAAAATGAGACTGACAGCACTTTTAGCCAATCAGAATCAGCAGAATGCCATCTTGTAGAGGAGCTGCTTGCTGAGCTAGTGCTCACTAGTTAGCTCCCTAAAGCTAACGGAGCCTCCAAAAGATGCCCGTAATGATTTCAGTGTAACACAAGAAGTAGTCCTAGCTGATTCTGGTGTGGATTTACCAATAATTATGGTAGATTAATTATAGCAACTGGACTTGCTTGAGTTTGTTGAAGATGTTTCACCTCTCATCAGCTCTGACTGACCAGTTGGGAGTTCCACATACCTGTATCCTTAAGGAGCCATTAACACCTGAGTTTCAATATCAATTGGGGGTTTGTTACTCCTTCCCCTCGTTATGCGAGTCGTTACTGCGCCCCCTGCCACAATGGGGTTCGTTAGGGTCTTTTGTGACTAGGTGTTTATGTAGTTTCATCTTCCTGGGAGAGATCTTAGGACTGAATTGTAAACAGGTGAGAGGTGATGCCTCAGACCTCCACCTCTGTTGAGGGATGGTCTTTCCAGTTTGATGCAGATGGCTTCTTTCACCCCTCTCTCAAACCATCTGTCCTCCCTGGCCAAAATCTGTACGTTGTTGTCTTGGAATGACTGTCCTTTGTCCTTGAGATGCAGGTGGACTGCTGAGTCCTGTCCTGAGGAGGGGGCTCTTCTGTGCTGAGCCATGTGCTTGTGGAGCAGTTGTTTAGTCTCCCTGATGTACAGGTCTGGGCATTTCTGGCTGCACTGGACTGCGTACATCATGTTGTTTTGTTTATGTCTCAGTGTCTTGTCCTTAGGCTGAACCAGTTTCTGTCTCAGGGTGTTGGAGGGCTTGAAATGAACTGGAATGTTGTGTTTGTTGAAATTCCTCCTGAGTTTTTCAGAAACTCCTGCAACATAGGAGATGACTATGTTGTTTTGTTTCTTGGTCTTTTCTGAGAAGAACATAGTCATCCCCCCGAAGACAACAATGTACAGATTTTGGCCAAGGAGGACAGATGGTTTGAGGGAGGGGTGAAAGGAGCCATCTATGTCAAACAAAAGACCATCCCTCAACAGAGGTGGAGGTCTGAGGCCTCTCACCTGTTTACAATTCAGTCCTAAGATCTCTCCCAGGTAGATGAAAGTACATTCACACCTAGCCACAAAAGACGAACAAAACGAACCCCATTGTGGCAGGGGGGCGCAGTAACGACTCACATAACGAGGGGGAGGAGCAACACACCCCAACTTATACCGAAACTCAGGTGTGTCCTTAGGATATAAGTATCTGGAACTCCCAACTGGTCAGTCAGAACTGATGAAGCTTCTTGGATGAGAGGTGGAACATCTTCAAGGAACTCAAGCAAGTCCAGCTGCTACAATTCATCTACCAGAACAACCATCACCTGGATGACTGAGGACCTTCACAGACATTTACCGACAAAATATACCATTCATAGCAAAACAGCTGAGGTAAGAGAGGTTTTACAACTACAGTTTTTGTTCGGTTTTTGCTGTTCCTTGGGTTATTTCTCTCACACTATTTCTTTGTGTGAACCAGGAGGCCCCCAATTGGGGGCATAAAGGGTTAAATGAGCCTGTGATGCCCAGCAGCTGGAGGCACCAGTATAGAGACTAGTAGTGTGGAACAAGTAAAAAAGGCAGATCCATAAAATATAGCAATAGCCAGGTTGTGACTCTTATGTGCCAATTTGAACATGATATACAACTAACTTTGGATGGAATTTGTGTTTTTCAGATTCTGGAGAAGCTTTACGTCCTGTCCTCATCAACAAACCACCCTTCGGTCCTTGCATTAATCAAAATAATTGTGGAAAATGGTTGGATTTGGACCTGCAGATGTGCCTCCATCAGCAGCTGTGAAGTTTGTGGGAGCAGGAACTGCAGCCTGCATTGCTGACCTGCTCACCTTTCCTCTGGACACCGCTAAAGTGCGGCTGCAGGTAGGAAAACATCACATTTTACCTTTTCGCTTACTGCCTATGAATTCAGTAATTGTGAATGTTTCTCTATCACCTGGAGGAGATAAGTAACCCAAGTCTGATTCCATTATGTCCTGCACAGATCCAAGGAGAGGTCAGAGCCTCAGCAGCTCCAGGGAAAAGCCCTGCAGTGACATATCGTGGAGTGTTTGGCACCATCACCACCATGGTGCGCACAGAGGGACCTCGGAGTCTTTACAGTGGACTGGTGGCCGGACTGCAGAGACAGATGAGCTTTGCCTCCGTCCGCATCGGTCTCTATGACTCTGTTAAACAGTTCTACACTAAAGGCTCTGATCGTGAGTATCTACTAATGTAATGTTCATTGAGCTGAGGGAGTCCCACACCGGTCAGGCTTGACATCTCTCTCTCTCCATTGTTACAGATGTTGGCATCGGCAGTCGGCTGCTTGCAGGATGCACCACAGGTGCCATGGCAGTTGCTTTTGCTCAACCTACAGATGTGGTAAAAGTCCGCTTCCAGGCCCAGGCCAGGTCTGGTGAGCATGCTAGACGCTACTGCGGCACCATTGACGCTTACAAGACCATTGCTAAGGAAGAAGGTGTTCGTGGACTATGGAAAGGTAGCTCAGATTACAAAATGCAAGTGTATCTTAAAAATGACCTTTTCATTTCTAATGACAAATCTTTTTATGCTCTGACATGCAGGTACAGCCCCAAACATTGCACGCAGCGCTATCGTTAACTGCACAGAGCTGGTGACATATGACTTCATCAAGGACATGCTTCTTAAGTCCACTGCCCTGACAGGTAAATTCAGCCCAACATGCTCCTGGTGTGATTTAATACTCAAATGTTTCCATCCTGTAGTGTAACGCTCAACCTGTACTCCACAGATAACCTGCCCTGCCACTTTGTATCGGCCTTTGGTGCAGGGCTGTGCACAACAGTGATCGCCTCCCCTGTGGATGTGGTCAAGACAAGATATATGAACTCTCCTCCTGGCCAGTACAGCAGCGTCCTCAAGTGTGCTGCTGCTATGATGACCCAAGAGGGACCACTTGCCTTTTACAAGGGGTAAGAAATGAGTGCATGAACGATATTGAAAGAATTAATGGAGTAAACACAATACATTACACATTCACAGAGGAGGCTATAAACAGCTGCAAACACAATGACAGCTATTATTATGAATGGATTGCAATTAATCATGTTTTTCTCTTTTCTTTCTCCCAAGGTTCATGCCATCTTTCTTGCGCCTGGGCTCCTGGAACGTGGTGATGTTTGTCACATATGAGCAGCTGAAACGAGCCATGATGGCAGTGAATCACCGCCACACAACTATATAATCACTATTGTCACAAGGCTAATGTTGAACCACAGTTGTTTTTATTTTTGTTTCCTCTCGATGTATATTTCAACTCCAGGTATTGCAGATTGTATCAGTCCTTTTCTTTCTTTCATGACAGAGATGAAGTCACATGTATCTAAAATGGGATCAACATTTAAATGCTAGGGCTTGTTTGATCAGCTGTTTCCTCTCAGCCGAGAGCTTCTCAGGGAACTGGACATCAAACGTAATTATGAGGTCTCCTCTCTGGGAAGGATCCTGGGACAGCGGCATTCCCTCTCCAGTCAGCACTTTTCTGTACGTGGGGCTGATATGTTATGACAAATCAGGAGGACATTAACTGATGAAGATGATGCATGAAATCAAAACATAGAGTTCTGTAAAATTCCCAGTTTAAGTGTACTGTTGTACTGTATTATTATTAAATGTTTGAATTGTACATCATCGCCTCTCTTCTGATCTTTTAGTATTTTAGATGAATGTCAATTTAACAAGACTACAAAATCAGATATAAAACATGATCATTGTGTCATATTGCACTTCAACATGGGAAAACACTCACTGCACAATGTCATTGATCGGGATTCTGAGTAGCCTGCCATCTAGTGTCTGCACATCCACAGAGAAGCCAGTCAACGCCTGTGGGAAAAGGAATCAACTTGCATATTCACTGTCTATCCAATAAAACAAAAATCTTTAAGTATGAGCAATATTGAAACCCTAACAGGACTCACCATCTCCAGAGAGATCTCCACTTTGTACATCAGGTCATCTTGTTGTCTTACAAACATGGGATGACTCTTCTGCCGCACAATAAACACGATATCTGCAGGGATGCTGTTTGGTCCCTGAATTTCAAAAAAACAGAAAAATACAGCAGGATCATTTCCATGCATGATTCGATAAAGAATAACCTTCTGCATATATTTTTGTTGGACTAAATTTGATCAGATCAAATCAAATAAAAAGGCTGATGTGCGATGACCACACCAGCATCTACTGAGGCCACCAACTAAAAAAGCAGATTCAGCCGATATTAAAACACTCCAGGATTAGGGGTGCACATAATGATTATTTTCTAAAATGTATCCTTTAAGATGAATGAATCAGTTGATTTAAAAATGTCTGAAAACTGTGAAAAATAAAGATGACGTCCTCAAACGTCTTCTGTTGTCCACAACCCAAAGATATTCAGTTTACCATCAAAGTGAGAGAAAGAAGAATTCTAATTTTAGGGGTTGAAATAAAAGATTTTAGGTGTTGTTTCTCGACAAAACGACTCATACTGATGAAATAATTATTTAAAAAAATAGTTGGTCATTAATTAAATAGGTGACAACTTATTGATTAATTCAGTAACTGTTGCAGTTCTATACCTGAATAATGAGATAAACTTTTAGATGCTTTAGAAAATATTTTATGCTTTGCTGTTCATAGAAACCCTACTTTGCTTTTACTCATACTTCCTGGATTCTGTGGCTTGCAGTAAAAACAGGTTTCCAGTTTTAGGGGCACCATCATAAAAATCTTTCAGTACTAATTACAATAAAACATAAAGGAATATAGTTAACACAAATTAAATAGAACACGTACAAATACACGTGGGCACACTAGTATTTTTTCTTCTTCATTTACCTGATCTCCCTCTTTGGAGAAAACAATTCTTGTGCCTTCCTTCCACCCAGGCTTGACATTTATTGTCAGGATCTTGTCTTTGATACTTGACGCGTTTCCATCTTCATTCATAACCTGAAAAATTAATAAGCCATCGCATAATGTCTACTAAAAAAGTGAATAAATGTATTTCAATTGGCGTGTTTGTGTGGATGTTGTTGTGAGTGATTGTTGGGTTGATGGATCTAAGTCGCTTGAATCAGAGTTCATGAGGAGCTCTCAGTCTAATGGAAGTATGAATGATTTAACCACTCAGAAGTTATGGGATAAGAAAAGACAGTTCATACAGCAGCTCTTACCCGCCGAGATATCTTAATCTTTTTTGTGCATCCGTGGAAGAGGTCATCCAGGGACAAATGAATGTCTCTCTCTATTGGAGAATCTTGTGTCTTTACCACTCCTGGCTGCAGGCCGCCCAACTGCATCGGTGCATCGTTTGTATAGAAGTCTAGCAAAAAAAAAAAATATTGGTTAAATGCAGCTGGTTTAAATTGTGAAAATCACTGTATTGTCTTTGATGCTATCTTTGTCACCTGCAAATGGGTTGTCGCCTCCAAAAAACTGCCTGAATGTTTTATCAGGATTCCCGTGGTAAACATATTTCGATGACCAAGCTCCACCGCTGCCAAACTCGGCTGGGACACCACCCTTTAGACCCTCCTCACCAAACTTGTCGTAGGTTGCCTTTTTTCGAGCTGTCATGAAGAAAACAGACACGGTTTCATGAACATGCTGTATGTCTCTTTGCAGAAAATACTACCTGTAAATACACCTATGGATTAAATATGTGTATTGTGATAAAAGGTGGATAAAAGATTAAGTCAGATGATTAGACTGACAAGTAGCCCCGCCTTTTGTTAGAAATGCAGCATGAATACTGCATATTAGCCATAATTCTTCTCATTTTGGTTAGATTATGTTTATTATTTGTTAATAAAAGAGGTTTTCCTATATTCAAGCCCTATGATAGTTTCCTTGTTACACTTTGCAGTACAAATATGTTACTGCAACTTTATGTTTTGTATTGCTTGATTGCTTTTTAGTCCTTCTTGAGCCAAAAGAGCAGAAAGGATAGCAATCAATTTTTGCAGCATTAAAAGCTGTAATTAATAAAAAAATAAGGGCTGTATAATTATTCACTTTTCTATTTGTGTGCTCATCTTTAACTCTGTTGCATGGTACTTTTTGCTACTGCAATGACTCAGAGTGTAGTAGAGTAATGTGATACAGTTATTTAACCTAAAATCAGCAAGCACAGGCTACACTGAAAAAAAATCCATAAAATCTTTTCATTTTACTATTTAAAAAAAAAACTTAAAAATATCAGTACATATAAAAAAAAAAGCCAGACTTTACATATCTAATTTAAAATAACCAGTAAAAACAAGAAAAAAAAAGAAAACAAAATATTTTACATAAAAAGAGTGTTATGGTGTTTCCTCGCGTTTAATAGATGAAATGACTTAAATTCAAGTTTAATACGGTAAACATATTTCTAAAATTCAATACAGTTATTGACAAATAACAGAAAAAGGACTAGCTCTGTAACTTTATGTGGATTTGTTTGTCCAAAAACAGACATCGTGTTTAATTACAAAAGTTTTCAGAACAAAAATGTTGAATTAATTTGTTTTAATTTAAAAAGATCTGTATGTACCAATAAACTATCAAACGACAGTTTTTTTTGTCCTTCATATATTTTCTATTACATATTATTGGTAAGTTTATTGTTTGCCATGTAAATATTCTTCAATAATCATTAAAGGTTAAAAGAAATTAAGGCAACAGCTGCTTTGTAAACTCTCGCGAGATTTACAAAAATGACCGAAAACAGTAGTTGACTCTTGCATTCAAAGCTTTGTTTACCATGTAAATATTCCTCAATAATCATTAAAGCTTCAAAGAAATTAAACGTCACAACATGAAATAAGAGCTAGCAAATTTATTTTAAATTTTGGAATTACTGTGTTTTCATGAGAGGTTGCGTTCTGGTCTTCTTTTTCGTATTATTTTATTTTATTTTATTTTATTTTATTTTATTTTATTTTATTTTATTTTTTTTACTGCACACAGTCATTGGTGCACCCAAATATTTGACGTTAATTTGTCATTACAACAAAATTTCAAACATACGTGTAGGATTAAATCAACTAAATAATTGGTCTAACGTCAACATCCAGTGTAAAACAAACTCTTCTTCTACTTACGGTCGCTCAGAACATCATAGGCTTCACCGAGCTGAACGAACGTCTCGCTGCTTCCAGGTTCTCTGTTGCTGCTCGGATGAAACTTCAACGCAAGACGTCGATATCTGTCAAGAAAAACGAGGAAAACTGTGACGATGAGCACAAAACGCCTGATATAAAACACCTGCTTTAAGTTTTAACATCTGTTAGCTGACTTACGCCTTTTTGATATCTGCGTCTGTTGCGTCTCTGTTTATTTCCAGAGTCTCGTAGTAATCGCTGCTCATGTTGGAATTAAATATTATATCCCAAAAAACCAAAGTGAAGCTCAGTGTGTCAGTAAAACGAAGCAGCTAAAAACACAGAGCGGCCGCTGTGTAGTTTGGTTTCCAAGGTAACAGCTGCTTTGCAAACTCTCGCGAGATTTGCGAAAACGTAACAGTAATTGACTCCTGCATTCAAAGCTGTAACTTTTTGTTATAGGCTATTAAAAAAAAAGCCAAGCTGACTGTAAACTTGAAACAATATATAGATACATCAAGATATTGTTTTAATATTGTATACGTTTAAATAATGTTTGTTAATGTTGCAAATGACTTACTTTGTTTTTTTGTTTTTAAGTTATTATAACGAGGAAGACTAATGAATTGGAATGAATAATGTTATTAGTATAATTACACCATATTAAAATGTTTTGCTTAAAATTTAACAAAAACATCAAGAATATCTAAAAAGCACAATTTGTTAGTGACATAAACTTACAAAAAGGACAAAATAAGAGTTTCAGACATTAATGTTGGTACGTCTAACTCAATTTCAACCACTTTGTGATATTCAGAGATTTTATTAGGGCTGTATAGCTGCTTTTGACTGTAATATTTACGGAGCCACTAGATTACTTTTAGAGAGAAAACATCCTTTGTAGTGAAGCCGTTAAAAACTCAGACGTGTCTTTGGCTATACATTGCTTTTGTAGAATCCCATACCTTTAGAAATCACAGATTTAGTTTTTAACAATATGCCATATTTCAAAAGCTTGTTATAGTACACATTGGGTATTTTTTTAAATCTTAAAATCTACTAAAGCTGTGAAGTAAATTTGGTGGAGTATATTTGTCTCTGAAATGCTTTTAGGGAGCCTAGAATCTGGGGCCCTGAAGTGAACTGTTTTGCAGTTCAGCCTTGTTAGTTGTTTACTAGGATGTCTATGAATGTCCTAAAAGCTCTTTTATGATGAATATTAGTGTCACACCAAGCCATAGAAGACATCCTGGTAGCAAAAATTACTGGTTTCTAATTCAGTTTAAAAGTTCATATTGTACATGCTGGACTTCCATCATGACTCTATTTCAATCTCAGCTTTTCCTGCATCGACAAGTCAAAACGTCTCCAATAAAAGATCTCCTACTGCAGCGCACTTGCAGGACAGGTACTCATTACACAGCTGCTTCCTTTCTGCTGCAAGACCCCAGTGAGAGGACAGCACAGTCACAGCAGTGTTTATCTAACTGCTGTTATCCCATTGTTATCACTGCTAAGTGTAAAAAATCTCTCCACCAGCTTGACTCACTGGTTTTAAAACTGTTAGTTGTCAATAAGCACAGATGAATTCCAGCAGCGGTGACAAGTGTATTTTTATTCTTTCATTTAAAACCATTCCAGACAGAAACGTTAAGGACTACTATACTATACAAACTGGACTCCCTTCCATAAGTTCACACACAAAAAAAATTGCACAATATTATCAGTATGATCAAATTATCCCTCAAGAGGTGGTAGAGGAATCAGCAGACACTCTCTACTGATTCAGTTAAAGGTGGTCCTTATGAATGCATATTTTGTAATCAGGTCAGGACTCAAAAGTGAAGATATTAACAGCCATATAAAAGAAACATGAATCCAATAGAAATAAATATTACAAGTCATTGTGGATTAAATACACATGTAGAATAATCACTAACAAAAGATCAATGCCAAAAATAAAAACAAGCAAAAGGAAATCAAAGTGTTCATTAAACGGCATACCGAACTTAAACTAGATAAACCCAAAGCCAAGGAAGCCCTCTTCTACAATTTAACTCCAAAAAGGCATTTATCTCCATAGTCTAATGTTTACGGTGGGTTTTTATGAGAAAATCCTCCTGGAACACTACCATCAAAGAAATAGTTGTAATCTATGATAGCTGTAGTCTTTAGGGAAAAAAATAATTAAAGATCTATCGCAAAAAAAAAAAAAGTAATAGAAAATGGAAGCCAAGGTAAAAATAACCCATCTCAAAGGACACGCATGAGGAGAGGGGAAGGACGGTGACGTTGGTGGTGCAGTCGTGTCGTGTGTTTGTGCTGGTGTGTGATGATGTGGTGGTGGTGGTGGTGGTGGTGTGAGACTGTGGTTTCGGTCTCTCGATTTGTCATTTCATGCTGGTATTTGTTGCAGGACTGTGACTCTGCTGGTACAGGCACCTCAGAGTGTAAAATAAGCCTTCAGCTGCATCATGTGCGCATGTCTACACCAACATTTTCTAAATGGTACTGATTTCCCTCAAGACAAATTTTGCAACTTTCCCACATAATATTCCAGACAGGTTAAAAAAACACAAAACAAAAAAAAGAACATTTTTTTCCCCCAGTGTCATTAAAACAACTCACGAATGAATCTTTGCCAATCAGCTGCAGCGGCACAATTTATGTTAACTGACAAATGCACACAACATCCACATTGTGCTTATTAAGCTTAAAGCAGTATTGGACTTTTAAAAAATATTTTCGCTCTTAAACACGTACTTCTATTTGATAACGTACACATTTTCTTTGTCAGTTTGGTTCAACAAATCATCTTTAGACACAAACTACACCAATACGACTCATTGCAACACTTTGTCTGAAACGACGGGCAGCGGGAGCTCGGCACAGCGCTGAGCTCGGCACAGCGCTGAGCTCGGGCTGTAAATACGCTTCCAGTGCATGTGTGTTACAGTGCAAATATTTAATTTATGTGATTCATGATTTTCAGAGCATCCCGATGAGAGAGCAGGTTTTCAAAAATGGCAAAGACGATGGATGTAGTGTTCTCTTTCTGGCTGGGGAACAGAGGTGTGTGTGTAGTGAGGGGTACATATACAGAAAAACTGAATGGGTTCCAGAAAAAGCCAGCAAACACAGGCAAGAACATTAGCAGGAACAGCCGCTTTCACTGACAGGTTGCTCTGGTGGCTTCTCCAGCTGAATGTTAATCACTGAAGGTGTTGGGAGTTAAGGAACATTCAAAAAAGAAGAGAGGAGAAAATGCAACTCTAAAATGTACAATAAAACCTTGAAAGAAATGTGCATAAGGCATACGGGAGTAATGCTGTGTGGATCACTTGGAGCCACTTTGTTTGTCTCAGTTCGAGCGAGGGCTGAGTAAGAACACCAGATTGTTTTTAGCATATTCGCAGAAAGGACAGCTAGCAAATCATATTGACTGGATTTTACAGAAAGATTTTTGGATCAGAATCGCAAAATATTAAAGTTTTGTACACATGTAGGCCTGTGGGACACAACATGCTTCAGAAATAAATGATAATTGTATACCTTGTTTAATTGACTACTATAAAATAAACCCAACAGTCAATGCTTGAGCTCAGAGACACATTTTCTACGCAACATTTAAAAAACAGTAACCGCAAATACCTGTTGATCGATATCAGCCGGGTTGATTTCATTTTTGGTAGTCTGCATTTTTCTGATTAAAAGAATCGCTATTTGCTTTAAACCAATTCCCAATAAAAGAAAATCATTTTAAAATGTGCTACGTTGGCCCTTTAACTGTAGTCACAACACCACTGTCTCCAGCAGTGTCCCATCCACAGCACCATCTGATAAACTGCACATCACAAACAATAGCCTGTGGACGGTGAATGGTAAATGTATACAAACTCTACTTTAAACACGTGCAAAATAGAAATAAACAAAAGTGTTTTAATAAAGATGAAAGTTGAGGTGGTGTTATTCTAAATTTTAACACAAAGATTTAAATTTCTACCACAATTTGTTTAAATTCTCTAAATATCAGCTAAATGGAACTGTGATTAGCAATGATCAGGAGTGTATTAAACATAACAGTCAATATCTGATCTTACATGTTCTGGTGGATGGTGATGTTGAGGATTTAGACTTCACTTATCCAAACTGATGGCTAAACAACTACAGATCTTTGTGAACACCATGTTGAAAATGTCAAGTATTGGTGCAGACAAAATTATACTTTTTAAATACCCTGTTTGGAAGCTTACACATATTTTTCTTTTACAAAACTTTTCTCAGCCATCACTGTCCAATCCTATTTCATACCAACAAAACACACCTTTTTTTTTTTCCTTTTTAGAAGTTCCTTTAAAGTTATATTCAGTAAAAAACAAACTAGGAGACCTCCTGACTCTTGTTAGTCACATGTGACACAGACACTGACATGACCACAAAGGATACTGCCCTGCGAACTCTTGTCCTCTGTGGTATCCATGCCGGGGAGGGCGGCAGCAACACGACGGAAAAGCTGGAGGGAAAGAGGAACAGATGTCAGACAAGGAATATACTCAGAGTATGACAAAACACAAAACATAATCAAGATAGCGTGCTGTATATAATCCCATTATATGATTTAGAATAAGGTTCATTTGAAGCTTGCACAGAGGCAGACGCCCAACAGAGCTTTTCCAAATTTGATTTTGAATTTAGCAGCTTGTGTCTGAGCTACAGCAAGACCATATTTCTGTGCAGTGCAAGATTTGAAAACCGGATGAAGTTGTGCTTTACTGATATCTTCCACTGACAAAGCATGGAGGATGTTAAGTGATTGATGGATCCTCGTGAAATTTAGGGAAAGTGCGTCGTATGTATGACATATAACGTGCCCACCTCCCACTAAACAGCCTCACATGGGGCTAAACTTGACAACATGCAGATTTCACAGCAACAAAGATGCTGTTACTGTGCTAATCAATGGAGGGCGGGGCTTTGTTGTGCAAACTCTGACCCCGCCTTTAAGGCTCGGCAATCCAAAGTTGGCCAATACCAATCAGTAATATAGTACGTGGGGAGAGAGCTTGAAAAACAAATCCATGTGCCTCACTTATGCCCTTTATGCACGCATGCGTGTGTGAAATAGAAGCCAATCAGAAGAGAGAATGAGCACTATGAACACACACACACACACAAAGGTGCACACGCTCTACCTGTTTGACATTGTAGCCTGTCTTTGCACTTGTTTCAATAAACAGAACATTCATCTCTTTCGCTCTCTGTTCTCCCTCCTCTGTGGTTATCTGTCTGTAAAGAGCCACCGCGAACAACAAACAAACACCCACCAGGAAACGTACATACCGCCACAGACATCGACACAAAGACAGGGGAAAAGAAACATAGACAGTGATTACATTGAAGTGCATCAACAAGTCGTGCCCCTTCCTGCTGCTACTGCCACCGATGCTCAACACCAAAAGCCTCCCTGTTGGCCACCAGGGGGTTCAGTGTGTTAGCTAATTTTCCAAAACAGGAAGAGAAGGCTGAAGAGACCTGAAATTAACAGTTCAACATTTTGGGATATGTGCATATCTACTTTCTTGCAGGGAATTTGTGCAAAGATCTGTCATGTCTGGCTCAGACGACAGGAGTTTTAAAATCCTAACAGATTTTGAAAGCGGGCTGCATCCTGCAGATAAGGAGAATCTTAAGAGATATTCTTTTCTCTGATCTCAGACATGTATACACTATAAAACTGGCAAATGACGGCATATCACAGACTACAGAATAAAAAGATTGTTGTGTCAGAGGGAGAAATGAAGGAGCAGTGCACCACCTCATGTGATCTCATGGGGATGCAGGTGTGAACCAAATGGAGACTGTGGTGTGACAACTTATGGTACCGTTAATAATACACTGAAATTTTAAGTTTAGTTCTGGTTATATGGTTTCCAACAGAACAACATACCAGAGACAAAAATCTGACGATTCTTTCTGGTTTGACATTTTCTGGCGATGATAATTGTTGCAATTTTGGCTATTATTTAAAGATAGCATGCCTTTCAAGACATCCAGTTCTGGGGTTCAAAAGGCTAGGAATAAATCTGTAAACCCCTCACTTTACCAAATAATTTGTGCTAAACATCACTTCAGACCAAGGTCCCAGTCTAGACAACTGTTGTGTTGAGGGGTGACACGCTCCTGTAGCCTGAACTTGGAATAAGGTAAATATGTAATAGTACCTTTAAAGGAGACCAATTTCTGTGTTATTTCTTCAGTCTAAATACAAGAAGTAAAAACAACATTTCCCTTCATTACAAGGGGTTGTGTGCTGGATTATGTTTTAGCCAGTATCAGTTCACTGTTCCTAAATTTGCATGATTTTAAAAATGTTGTTGGGTAAAAAGATTAGACTGAATATAAGAGTGATATCAATCTTCTTTCTTGATCCTCTACAAGAAAGTGAACAATGATTTCCCAAATGTTTTCATGTTTCTTTAAAATTATGATAAAGAATGACGATCTAAGAGCCATTTGCACAAGTCCAGGAGGTCAGCCTCTAACCTCCAATTTTAGGGGGCGACCTTTGGAAGTAGAGCTCAGGCAGCAGCGTCTGCAGCAGGACTACAGAGCACGACTCACACACAGTCTTACCTGCTTTACGTTGTAGCCCGCTTTCGCACTAGTCTCAATAAACATTACATTTAGTTCTTTGGCTTTCCGCTCACCCTCTTCAATTGATACTTGCCTGTGGCAGATAAGGGGGTTAAAAGATGCACAGCGAGAAACAAAGCAACTTCATTTAACAGCTAGACACTCTGAGATCAAACATCTGAAGGAATAATTCAGTCACAGCTTTGATATTCATAAAGCGGAGAGACAACTTGCTCTGAGCCAGTGCTGCTTCAGGAAGGGCTCAGGAACTCAGTATTGACAGACGAGCAGTAACAATCAATGATTTTACTGGCATGCTCTTAATGGAAAACCTTCTGACATAGAGGTGGGAAGAGGGAGGAGATGACTACCTTTTGTCTGCAAGGTCTGTCTTGTTTCCCACCAACATGATAATGACATCACTTCCTCTTTCCGTTCTCACATCATCAATCCATTTTGTGGTTTGCTGGAAAGAGTTGACATCTGAAAGGGAGACAAGGGGGGAAACAGGAGGCAGAGTATGAGTATTGAGGAGATGAAAGGCCTCAGCTGTGAAAACGGTTGGGTTTCTGACAGGAAGAAAAGGACAACTACAAGTCGAACACATCTTGACCCAGTCCCATGTATTTAATTTAATGTTTTACGGCACATTTGCTTGCATCACACTTCACAAAAAATTTGAAAGGTATGTTATCCAAAAAAAACAACAAAAAAACCCTACATTTTTTCAGAGCCAGTAACTCTAAAAACAAAAAGAATCATCAGAAGCTCAACTTTAAGCTTAAATGAATCACATCTGATGTACACACATCAGCTCTAAAATCATATTTATTAAAATGACTTGATTCTACATGTCTCATATTAAAACAAACAAAAATATCTGCGTTTCAGGACAACAGAGAAGCCAAGTCATGTAACAAACATTCATTGACTTTTTGGCTGAACTGCAGGCTGTGTTTACACAGGGGCAGAGAGGAGGTAATTAAGGAAACTGATTAGAAATTGAGAGGAAAATAAAACCCACTTCAGTAAAATTAATGTAGCACAGTTAAAAAATAGTATAGTGTAAGTTGTCAGCAAGTTGTTGGAGGATATATTCAGCATGATGACATATCTTTGTAGAGTTGATGGGCAGAAGTAGTGTGAAAGACGCCTTGTTTGTGGATCTTGCACAAATGGAAATTGTAAAATACCTACAGTAGGTGGACCCACTTGAGTTCTCTTTACCTCTAGCCATGGTTTGGCTGTTTCTATAGAAGTGCGGTGCTTTATACTGTAGTGAAAATAAGTGAGTAAAAATATCTCAGGAGCAAAAAAATGTCCTGAAACTTCTTAAGGTTCAAAGGGTTAAACAAACACTAACTTAAAATAAAAAACAAAACAAAACACAGTGCACATAACAGAGGACAAGACAAATGTGGTTTCATACAACATTGCAGTGACATGTAATCCACCTACTTGTGATGTCGTACACTACGACAGCAGCAGCGGAGTCTCTGATGTAACTTGGGATTAGGCTACGAAAACGCTCTTGCCCTGCCGTATCCCACAACTGCAACCTGATCTGTGGGGCAGGAAAAGGGACGGGGATGGGACAAAAAAAATAAAAAGAAGAGAAAAAGAACAAAACAGAAGGGATGAAAATAAAACAAGAAAAAGCAAATAGACAAATGAGGTAAGTTAATGTGACAAAAAGCAAATTGAAAAGAAAACTAAATAAAGTCAGACTAATGGGGAAAAGATAGAGAGAACAGAGAGAGAGCGTAGTGCATGCAGGTAGTGAGTGACCACCAGAGAGAGCAAGCTGTCTGGGCCTGAGGGGGGGAAGAAATAAATAATCACCCTTCACTTGTCATCAACCCTCCTCTCTTGATCAAGTAAGGTGTTTAATTTTAAAACAGTGATGAGAGAATAGATGGATGGGGTAGGAAGGAGAGGAAGAAAACTTATGTTGAGGGAGGAAACAAACAGAGAAAGGGAAGACTGCCCGGGGGGGCACGGCATCCTGATCACTGCAGCGGGGCAGTACACATGCTGTGTGTGTTTGTTAGAAAGAACGCAACTGTCAGAGAAAGAAAGAAACAAGATAAAGCCATGTCAGATATCAGCATCTGAGTGCCCTGATAACATTCCCGGCACCTTAACCTTAATATCACTCAGAGAATTTCTCAGATCTGTACAACAACACACAACAACAAAGACTGATTATTTGCTGGTAGTAATGAAAGTCAACTTACTGTTCTGTCTTCAAGGTACATGGTTTTTGACAGGAAATCTATTCCTATTGTGGCCTGAAAATGGACAAGATAGTACAATGTTCATAGCCATCTCAAATTGTGAGATCTGGATAATATAAGCATTACATGTGATGATAGGAAACAGTAAAGGCATTCGTCTCACTTGATAAGTATTGTCGAAGCTGTCATACATGAACCTGGTTATCAGCGAAGTCTTTCCCACTAAAGAAATGAATACAAACAAGAAGAGTGCAATGATTAACCTTTAACTTCAGTCTAAAATGGAAATACAGTCAAGTTATAATCACATTCAACAAAGACACAAAACAACACAACATTATATAAATAAACTTCTTCAAAAACAATAAAAATCTGAAAAGCTGGCCAGGGGCTACCTGCTATTTGTACTTGATGAACAGCTTTAACCAATTGTCAAAGTTGTAGCAAGAGTCATTTTATGTTGATCCCCTGCTCATTTCAGCTCTAATCAAAATTAACAATATTGTAGGACAAATACCAGCCTTAACTGATCATACCTAAATCCCTGAGCAGCATGTTATTAGAAACAAACTAGACAGATTATTCTCAGCTGCTCCTAATGAAATGTTTGTGAAGTTATTAAATTCCCAAGTAGTCTCCTGTGCAGTCTCACTTAACAAGAGGCCTAAAAAAAAGAGGCAGAAAGTGTTTAGATATAAGCCAGCCTAGTTTATAACCTGTCTGAGAATATGAAATGTTAACAAATAACATAACAGGATGGACTGTCTATAGCAAATTGAGTTTAAAAGGCAATATAGTGACAACATCAAATCTGTGTACAGCTCATAAGCTACAGGTGTGTCTTTAAAAACAGACTAAAGTTGACAGCAGCACATCAGACAACTCCCTCTGCATTCGACATTGTTGTCATTTCAAATAGTTGAGGAGAAGTTTGTGGGTTGAGGAGGGTTGAGACACAAGTAGGTTTGGGAACCAAGTTCCTCATCGATTTCCGTTTAAATTTCTGTTTTTGGTCTTTGCCAATCCCGGCCTGAACTGACCTACCATCAGGATTTTTGGTGCACATTTATTCTAAAACTTCATGTTACATTCCATCCTATTCTCTAATCTCTAAATGTGCTATCTGGTTTCCAAGTTGTTTTTAAATTGTTGCTGATATTTACGAGTACAATATCCCTTCTAGCACATTGGAGGAACACCAATACGGTTGCTTTGAGACAGTGCTCCCCAGCCTCGGACTGTTTTTGCTAAGCTCGAGTTACATTATCAGTTACAATGTGCATCAACTGATGATGACATGGCTAAAGCCAACACTGCTGTTTACAGCACTACAAGAAGCCACAGCTGATCACAGACTGTCTGACAAACACTAAGTCTGTCCGTCTTATCTTGATGGGAGGGAAGAGTCACATTACAGGATTCAGCGCCTGAAGAAAGACATTACTGGCAGAGCAGAAACTGTCACATTTTCTACACGTCCCTATCCTGTTTCTACATTAGAAGCACACCAGCGTGATCAACTACATCAGCATCTGTGTCAATACTGACTTTTTTTGTGATCGGGCCTTTCGGACAAGATAACAGACTGATCTACATTAAACATAGTTACTTTATTCATGTCATACAATTCAGTGTTTCCACTATCAAATTCCTTCAGCTGTTTTAGAAGTAAAATAACACCTAGCCTGGCCTCACGTTTCCAAGGTTTAATTAATTATTTTGTTGTTCTTAGCTTGCTCGCAGTGGATGAATTATTGGATGCAACACCTTGGTTTGGACAACTGACTGCTTTTGCCTTCACTTTAGTGCATCTGTGGCTGTTAAATTAGATTTAAATTGATTTTGGACAAATGCACTACAGAAACTACAAGTGTCACATCGGTATATTACACACTGTTGATGGCATCAGCAGCTCTAATAAAGAAGACAAGGGAGGATCAGTTAATCACAATTCTACATAAAACCCCAAATGTGTCCGACACAGCTGGCTTTGTGTTGACACACAGCTGCAGAAACAGATTGGTTAACCAACATAAGCCGCACCTTTACCTTTGTAAAAAGATAAATGATAGTTAAGTATAGGCCTTTTCTTGACAACTTCCCTGCCCCTCTATAAGTCTTCCTGAGGGTTCACGTTGGACTGGAAAGGTGAGAAATGAGACTGTAGGAATGCTGCAGGATGGGTCTGAATAATTGGGACATGCCCACAGGGTAGCAAAACAGATTTATCGAAGCACTGTAATATCTTTGTGGATTTAACCAGAGACAGCAAACACAGGATGTGATTTACAGTCTGATTAGCCTGTAATCTCTAAATGCGAAGTAATAATATAACTAGTATTATTACACAGGAATGTCTGTCATTCCTGTTTAATATATTAACCCTTCAGTTTCATTTCTTCACGAGCAATTCTTGGTCACTTTCTACTGGTTGCCACTACCTCTAATGAGTACATTATCGAAGCTCACCGCGCAGGTTAGACAACAAGTGGACATTTCCACACGTATGACTCATGTGCAGGAAAATGAATTGCACTTCCAGCGTGGACAAGCAGCTGTGAACAAGTTACGGTGTCGCAATGCTCCAACTGTGCCAAGTTTAACGATACGTAGCTAATGGTAGCTAGCTAACCGGTTGACGTTAATCACCCGACCAACCCATCAAACTCTAGCTACATGTTAGCCAAACGTCCCACAAAGCACAATTCAGCCTCCAGCTCGCATATAGTTTTAACGTCAGCATAAGACTTACCGCTCTGCTCCCCAAGAAAGACCAGTTTAAATTTTCTGAGAGGGTTTCCGAAGTCTCCGGCCGCCGACATGACTGTATCAAACAAACCCTGGCGTTACTTTTCGGGAGCTCCACAGCTAGCCAGCTAATGCTAGCTAACCAGTTATCAAAGGTCCGGGGTCCGTAACGTTTCGCCGGCTTGCCAACCCTCTTGACGGGCCTCTAGGAGGTGTTCCGTGCTCTACAATCACTCTGTTTAGCCTCAAGACACTTTTAGGTAACTCTCTAACTACGGCAGCCAAGTTAGCATTACTCTGGGTTCTCTGACATGTCTACCAGCAAGCCACCCCGGGCCACTCTTCTTCTGACACGGTTGACGCTGCTCTGTAAGTCCGGTGTTCGTCGGTGCTGCCCTCTACCGGCCGAGCAGGAAACACACAAACAGCCCTGCGGCAGAGGAAACACGCTGACGAATTTGACGCAAAAACAGACAGGCTGAATGCGTCTTTCACCTCATTAGTGGGTCAAATGGTGGTCAAACAAGAGCTTAAAGACCAGAACACTAGAACCAGGTTGGGCAAAGGTATGTTGTTTTTATATCCCCACAAGGGGGCGTGGTCATCCCGCAGCCAGGATTTCACCTACTAAGCAACTTCTACTATAATCTCAATCGTGAGTTGTTTACTGGAATTTGGACGTAGTTTGTATTAATGTAGCAATTACATGAAAAAAAATTCTTTTTGAATCAGTGTTCTTCACGAAATACCTCCCACAGGTATTTTCTGTAATAACTCAGTACATGTGCTATTCCTACAGTCGTCCTCAGATTTATTCATCCCCTTCCATTACAGAAAAAGGAAAATTCAGTAGTCACGCAAATATCTAGAAACTTTAAAAAGTAATAATAAATAATTAAACAAAATGCTAAAGAATAGCTTTGTGAAATAAGGCATTGTTTTTAAATTGTGGTTACAAAATATTAATTTAAAAACAAATTACAGCACTTTGCTGATTAGCAGTGGACCAAAATACCTGTCAACAGGTGCAGAAGTCTGACTGAGAGTTACAGAAACTCTTGAAACACTTGATTGCAGTGATTGGCTCAAAGAGTTGTTCAACGAAATATTAGGTTACGGGTCCCATCATGCTTTTTTTTTTTTTTTTTTTTAATATTTCTGTTGAACCACATTTCGAAAGCAATGTCATGATTTTATTACATTTTTATTTATTATTACTTTTGTAAATTACAACTAATTTCAGTGACAGTTGTTTTTTCCCCTTCTTTAATGGGAGGGTATGAATACATTTGAGGACAACTGTAGATGTGATCCATCACCTGCAGCTTACGTAATTTAGATATTTTGCATTTATTTATTTTTACTATTGGAAACACTTGTTCCTCACTGTACCCAAACCTAAACCTTGAATAACACCTTCAATGTCAAACAACATTTGCGTGTTCTACATAGCAGTTGTATATAATTAGAAGGAAAAAAAAAAGAGTTCAATTTTGCAGCACCCTCACTTGATAATATTAAGCAATCCTAACAAGTTTTTTTTTTCAAATTTGTTTTGAAAAAATGGTATCACTTTTTGTTCAGGACAGGCTATTTTGAGATACCACTGCAACATGCACATGTACGCTCTTATATTCGCTATAATAATGCCAGGTTTTGCTGGCAACCTCTCAGCATCAAGCCAACTGGCATTAATTATTTTTGTGAACAAAATAAATTCACAGTTATGGGTAGCAGTATGTAGGTGTGAAAGAGGAAATCGAAATTGTTAGGTCTGTTATGTCAGACACTTTTAAAAATTGCTATCAGGCTGCAATGTTTACAGGACGCACTGTAGCTCTTATTGGATTGCTCATGACCTCCAGCTCATTGGACAGCTGGTGTCCTGAAGGTTGAAGTCCCGAGGCAACAAACAAGGTGACTTGATTAACTTACCCCTTCAAAGTCAGACATCAGTGAAAATACTGGTATAAACAGTTCATGACTCAATTAGGGAGCTCGACCGATACTGGATTTTTGCAGCCGATGTCGATACCAATTTTGAAAGGGTTAAAAATCCCGCTATTGATATATCAGCCAATATTCTATTTATATTTATATGCACACACATATACAGTATATGTGAGAGTGACACTGAGAAGGTAAAATGATTTCCAGCAATGTATTTCACAAAGCAGTGTGATGCTTACAGTGAAGACACCACGTTACTCCGCACCACCACCTGCTCAGCTGCTTTACGTTCTCTGCTACATGTGCTGCAGACAGCGCTGAGAGTGTTGTAAAGAGTGGAGTAAGAGCTAAACAAACTGTGTGATGAAAACATTTCTAAATTGCTCGAAGCATATATTGTTTTGCATTATGTTCTGTAGAAAAACAGTATTTCATATTGGCGCATATTAGAAAACAGACACTTTGATATCTGACGACAATATCGGCTAACCAGTATATCAGTCAAGTTCTACTTAGTTGTTCTGCATTTATTTGTGTTTAATTTGTGTCTAGCTTTAGATTAATAGCAAGCTTTTAATTTGAATCTATTATGAGTTTGAACTAAATGTCTCAAGAACATTAGATGACCTTGAGGTTTTTCAACATTTTCTTTTCTGTTACCCTTTTAGACAAAACGAAGACTGAAATTCAAATTCCAGTACCATCAACCACTTAACACAAACCTCTTACATCCCAGAGGATTCAAGGTGCCTTATTCCATCACAGCATAACAACTAAGGGTTTAAAACACGCTGCAGTCGACTATTTCACAGCGACATAGAATGTAAAGAGAAAAAGTATTGAACAGAGCTTCAGAAGCAAGAAACTAAATATGCTGGCTTTATTATTGATGCTTCTCCAGACACACAGAAAGAATCCACTATGACATATTTATGAACAGCAGACCTTCTGCTGAGGCGCCCTGACAAAGCCGAAGTCTCCTCTTTCTACCTGCATTCATTTGAATACCAAAGCAGGATTCATCCTAATCACACTTCCATTCATTAATAATCACCTCTGATTTTAATATTTTATTTAAGTGTCCTTGTTGTCGGATAATTTTCATTCTTACATAACTCTCTTATAAACTTAACATGGGCTTAAATATTGATTAGCCCCGCAAGATGTGTACAGTGCATGGGGGCATATATCGGTTATGTTGGCATATGCATCTTTATGAGATCAAACATAAGCTGTTACTGAAAAGAAATAATGTATGTTTTAAAATGTGGGCCTCTACTGGCTGTACTGTACATACTGTAAGCATGCTGGATTCTACCCCTGGATTTCTTTTACATGTACTGTAGCAGAGACACATCTGGCTTTTCTCTACATACAGGACATTTGCACCAACGTGGATTACATTTGTGTTATAATTGATCTAAGTGTGTATATATATAGTGATGCGTTATGAGTGTGTGAGTACAGTAATGTGTGTTTATGCCTACTTGAGCTGGCTGTTCTAGGTCAGTGAAGAGAAACCACACCTGTGCCCCTCTCTCATTCATGCGCCATGCAGCTTGGAAGTGTTTTCTCGGGGCGCTGACCGGCTGATGCCAGTATTTCATCTGCTCTGTTTGCGACCCGAGCCTCGTCCAACTAGAGCCATCCCTCTCCACCGCTCCTCCTCCCCTCCTCCTCCCCGCTCTCCTCAACAGCACTCCTACGCCATACGTCCTTGGTAAGGGAAAGACCCCAAGTCCCCCCGCTGAAGATGCTGAACTGACAGAATCTCTCTTGCTCTCTGTCTCCCCCACTCAGTCTTCCTCTTATCCACACATACAGGGGGTGGGGGGGGGATTTTGTGCATGCGCTCACACACACACACACACACACAAGACAAATTGATCTCTAATACACTGTAGAGGTTGTTGTGTAAGGGCTGGGATTCGGAATTTGCTCACCTGACTGCTTTTTGCTATTTAATTTTTTTTTCACACCGGCACACAGGATTTAAGGACGTTAAGGTGGTATCAAATTTTCCCAAGCGCCTGATAGAAAAGCACCTCATTCTTGCAACAAATAAACTGTCAGATGGAAAAGCATGTAATCCAAAATCAAAGAAGCGTAACTAAAAGGAAGCGCGGCTCGAATGAATTGAACTTGTCACCTCAAGCCATGGCTTCATCCTTGTGTGCTGGTTTCATGTCATCCCACTGCATCATTTACTTCTGCAAACTTGACTCAGTCTTCCAGATGGGAAAACCTCGCTATGACTCACATCCTAAGAAGAAAAAAACAAAACTTGTGGTTCTTTATTCTTTCTTGCCAAGCATCCTCTGCTTTCTTGCTTTTTAGATTAAGACACAGGTTTTTTTGTTTGGTCCATAGGCATGTGAGGATGTTAATTACATTCCATACATCTGCCTGTATGCGAGCGTGTAATGGAGGGAGACCATCACATTTCCACCTTAATATAAATCTAATGAATGCGGCTTTCAATGTCACAGCAAAGTACAATACGGTGCTCATCTCTCCTGAGAGGGAGAGGGAGCACGGGGGCTGCAATGGAGGAGGAGGACGAGGAGGAGGAGGAGGGGAAATGGACAGAATGAGGAACAGAAAGAGGAGATGAAGAGAGGAAATATAGAAAGGGCACGAGGGCTGGGTCAGGGTAAAATAGGTGTGTTGTCATCCCCAATACAGTAAGATGGGGAAAGGGAGGAGATAGATGGGGGATGGGGTGGAGCAGAGCCACAATTCTCCTGTAATCCTCCTCCTGGAAGCATGGGCTGGATGATGTGTGAGTGAAAAAGAAAAAAAAAAAAGAAAAAAGAGAAGGAGGAAGAGAGCATTTGAAGTGTAGGGGAAACACCGCCGAGCTCCCAGACTGGAACAAAGGATTGCAGTGAAGACGGGGCAGAAGAGCACGGTTAGATCTGGAATCCGTCTTTTCTGTGCAACATCAGGCAGGAACAGACACAGCAGTACGGTGGGAGGCATTCTTGCAAGCATAAGTGAAGCAGCGATCAGGGTAGCAATCCAAGCACATTTACCAGAGGAGGCAGGGAGGGGAGGAGAGGGGAGGGGAGAGAAGGAGCGCGAGGGATGAGAGGGAGCAGATCTATGAGAGGAGGAGGAGGAGGAGGAGGAGGAGAGGGAGGGGGGGTGTTGCATGCTCACAGAGTGTGACAGAGATAGAGCGATGAACGAGAAAAGAGACACAGAGACAGAGAGGAGAGCGCAGAGCAGAGATGAGGACCGAGACAGAGGTAGTTGGCAGGACTGAGATCTGCACACAGACGTGAGCAAAAGAGGGGAAGGAGGAAGAGAGTGGAGGTTGAAGGAGAGGGGGGGAGAGAGAGAGAGAGAGAGAAGGGGGAGTTGGAGGGGGATGCAAGATGATGGAGCCCAGAAATAAGCTTCACAGGACAGCTTTTCATCCCTACTTTCTGCAGCAGACATGACTCTGGGCACTGGACTGTGCTGAAATTAGCCAGGGGGACAACACAGGACAGCAGGTTTGCAGCAGACTGCTTTGGTTCAGCTTCGCTGGATGCAGCAAGGCAGCTGATTTATTACTGAGGGGCTGGGTGGCAGTGTGTTTGCATGTGTGCCTCTGAGTGAGTGTGTATGCAGCTTTTTATGGGTCCTTGTAGCGCTCGGAGCTGTGGGAGCGACCATTCCTCCAGTCATAAAATGACATTCAGCAGGCAGGAGCTTTGTGTGCTGGTGTGGATCTGCAGTCCTCAGTAGGAAGTGGGAGAGTGGGATTCAGAGCTGTCATCGAGTGCAAGTGTGTGTTTACAGTGCTGCTGGCTGAGGTGAGCCAAGGAGGATCAGCTATATGTGGTGTGTGTGTGTTTAGGTTAGAGCAGCAAGGGTGCAGCAAAGGCAAAGCTCCTACACAATGCAAGGACGAGCGCAGAGCACCACCGATGGCAGAGAGTGCAGCTGAAGTGCAAGGAGTGCCCTGGGGGTAGGGTGGAGGACGAAGACAGGGACAGAGGAGGAAGAGGAGTAGAGAGCGAGGGGACGGAAAAGAGAGGGTGATCATGGCTGTCATACAGTGAGCTATAGCATATGCTGTAGCGCAGAGCAGAGTGGTGCGGCAGGGGGAGGACAAGCATCACCGCACAGGGGAGGGGGAGAGACTGAGGGAGAGAGGAGGGGGAGGCAATCAGCTCAGCACCTCTCCTCCACCAGGAAGAGAAGAGCACAGCGGGACAGGCCCGGCAGAAGACACTCACTGACAAACACAAAGGCGCACTGACGAGCGACCAGGTCAACGTGTAGAGGTCAAAAGGGAGCTGGTGTGGGACCGGAGGGGGGGGTTTGGTGAACTCCCGCCGGTCCACGAGAGCGCAGGCTGGTCCTGGGAGAAAGAAGAAGAAGGAGTCCGCTGGGGGGAGAAGTGTCGGCTCCCCGAGTCCTGTTTCTTCGGGTCACTCTGCCACCTCTCCATCACCATGGGAGAATGGACCATTTTGGAGAGGCTGCTGGAGGCGGCTGTCCAGCAGCACTCTACCATGATCGGCAGGTAAGGCACTGATTGATTTTGTGTGGAAAGGTTTCTGGTTTAGTATCTGTGGTTTTTGTTCATACCGGTGAGCTGCGTGTTTTTATGTACAGTACGTGTTATTTTGTGTGGATCAGTTGTTGACATCCCTACTGAGACCCTTCTCCTCAAGGCTTGTCCCAGTGCTCTCCTCTGTTCTACAATCCCCCACAGTCTCCCCTGTCCTTTCCTCCCTCCTGCTCTCCTCACTCTTATCCTCCACACCCGTCATTAGTTAAGGGATAAACTAATTGCACATAATCAATAGCAGGCTTTACTAGGCATTATGGTTAATTCAGAGAGGTTCCTGTGTTGATACTACCTAATAGCCTAGCTATTGATAGATTATGCTTGATGCTGTTGGCCACAGACCAATAGGACAGAAGGAAGAGAGGGGAGTAGGAGTGAGAGGAGAGCAGAGGTGCGGAAGATGAAAGGATGGTGAGCAAGCAGGTGTGGAAAGCAGAATCAAAGGGGGAGTAAATGACTCTAAACTCTGACAGAGAGAATTAAAAAAAAAAAAAAAAAGTTCATTCAATTTGCTCTTGTCGGCAGACACTAACTTGCATCATAGTGAACGGTTTGTGGTGGAGAGTTGAACAGATGAGCTTTTAGTTTGATTAGCAGTGGAGACATGCCATGGAGACATGCTGTAAAATCTGTGTGAAATATGTGCTCCACATCATCTCTGTGTGATTAATTAAATGCAAAAATGGAATTTTCCACCCATTGAACACAATCCAAATGTCATGCTAGGATGCTCATTTGGAAAAGTGAAGCGTCAACATGCTTTAGCCTGTAAAACCTGGATGTGAAGATTTGTAATATCAAAATTGCTTTTGAAAAGCAGCCCGAGAAGACAATGAATGTGATTGCACTGCTGTGCTCATTAACCCAAATCACAGGTAATCTGCAACAAGGGCATGGCCTAACCTTCTCTTTGCTCCAGTTGCTGTTGGTGTGAGTGTGTGTTTCTTGCCCCGTGCGCAAGTTAAAGGAGTGAAAATTGGCTCATGCATTCATTGACTACCCTGTGCCCCGTGTGCACCGAGCCATAAGGCTATATCCTCTGTATCAGCGATGTTGTAACTGCATCAGAGCAGCAGAGATGATGTGAGCCGCATTATACCAAACCTTCTGTTGATCAGGGATCTGAGGCCATGTGCGGTGGAGATTTTCCTTCCAACCAAATACTATACCAAGTCATTTCAGTCAGTTCTTCTTCTGTGGTTGAAAGTGCATTAACCAATGAAATCACCTGGTCTAGTCCTCAGATGGAAAGAAAACCTGCATGTTGACTTGATTTAAAGATGCATTAAGCAATATTTTTTGTATTATTTACTCATATGACTCCCTCCCACGTATGGGTTCGGTAGCGTCGTTGCTACCGCTGACAATTCACATCCCACCTTGAAGCTCTACGTGGCTTCAGTCATTTTCAGCTCATTGTTTTGGTGCTCGGAGCCACAAAACCCAAAACAATGTTGGCTCGTATTCGAACAACTGCTTCCAGCGCAGAAGCTAAAACAAGCTACCTGTACGCTAACCTCCCGGCGCGAAAAGGCAACAAGCCGAAGAAACCGGAGAAGGAAGTCGGACGTTTAGCAAAACAAAAAAGAGCCAGATATTTCTTTTTCATGAGCTGGAAGACCAAACAAGGGCTAGAACGCCAGTGAATATTGGAATTACATTCAACAGGTGGCCAGAAAAAGGAGACCAAAGGGATGTCCGTGTTGCTCTGTTTCTGCTGGATATGTGAGTAGGCAACTGTTTGCTAACATGTTAGCCATAACCACTTGATAAGCTAGTTGCTAACTGTTGTGAACTTGTTTCGGAGTCTTTCCGCCCCCTAGTGGTCAAAAAAATTACTTAATGCAGCTTTAAAATCCAGTCCTGGCAGCTGAATCAGTATTACCCTGCGAGCACAGGGTACAAAGAATGCTGAAAAATTAATCTCTGGATGGTTCAAGCCACCTTCAGTTTTTCAGAGGCACAGAAGCAACTCTCAATTTGTCTGCTACCTCTTTCAAAAGTCAGAACGAATACTGTGATGACGGTTTCTTCTTATATGCTTAATTTGAGCTATTTGTTGATCATGCACTTCACTGGCTGAACATTAAAAAGGGTTCCCTGAGTACCTAAGACGTGTTTAGTAAAAATGAGCCGTGCTTTTCTGGTACAAGAATAGTCCTTTTTTTTTTTTTTTTGCATCAGTTTATGTTTGCCATATGATAGATTCTTCTAGCCTGATGACCCACTGTGTCAAACCTTCTAAAGTGGCATGACATTAGATATTTAAACCACTAAAGTAGTAAGAAACTCCCTCACACAGGAATTAGCTTGTACAGAAACCACAGCCATGTGCGACTGTGCTGAATTCAGTGAAATGCTTTGTAAATGATCCCTATGTGTTTGGCTTTCCTCACACTGTGTTTGTCCTACAAGGCTCTTTAGTTGGCCCTAGAGTATTAGCTGTAACATTAGCTGCTTTCCAATGGGGTTTCCTCCTTCTACTCTGCTTGTCTATGCTTTGTGAGCCAGGAAACATTGTCTTTGGAATCACTTTGCACAGTATTTTTTCGGTTGTAGGTCCCTGATTTTCCAAGCTGATTTTGATTTCGTCCCTTTTAGTTAGCTTGCTTGCAGGATAATTCAAAAAAATGCATTCAAGAATTCTTTAAGCAGTCTGGAGAGACAGATGTTGGGTTAACTTGTAGCTTCCTATAACTAAGCGTTGGTCTGGATCTTGGCTTTTTACCCAAAGAAAGGCATTTTTAGACATTAGACCTTCTTAGGCAATCTTTAGCAATAATACAAAAACTACTAAAGATAACCACTTGATTCCTAATCCTAAGCATGTGTCTGCATGGTCAGGAAATCAATGACACTTAACATTTAAATGATAAGAATGATGTTTCTGGATGTACCAGCAAGTTGGAGAATTGTTCACCACTGGCACAGTTTTGTGCTGTAAAGGTGCCTCCTAGATTGTTAATGAGCAACTCCACACCAAATTACGTGTGGAGTCAAAATTGTTGCACTGACCTCTATGGGTTGAAAGGTTCGAGTCTGTTGCACCACTGACCACACCCAACGATGCAGTTGGGTGTGGTCAGGTGTGGTCCGTTGCCCTTGTGAACACAACCAACTGTGATGTAGTGTTGCACTGTGGTGCATTGTGAAGTCCTGCACTTCACAGGGTGTGGCCGGAGCATGCAGCAACTGCACAAGTAGGATGTTCAGCCTGTGTGTTGACACTTTTCAAAGAGTTTGCATGTGTGCGCTTGCAGTTCAAAGGATGCAGTTCCAAAGTAACAGAACAGTGATGTCTCCCCATGGCTGAAAAGTCTCCCCTGCATCAAAACTTTGGAACATGGTTGCATGTCAGTCATCTTTTTGAGTGCCAACATGAGGATGTAGCTCCACCATGAGACACTGTCAGATAGCACTATCACATGTCTAGACTGTCTTATCCAGCTACAATTAAGCTGTTTCTTAATTGTAGGTTTTAAGCTAACCTATGCCCTGGCATAGGATAGATAATTAGCGTAGGAATACAGAGCGGTGGTAAAAAATAGAAACGGACCAACTCTACACAGTGGCATAGGTTAGCTTAATTATGGTCTTTGAAAGAGACAGACAAATTGAGAGTTGCTTCTGTGCCTCCGACTAACCACAGGTGCCTTGCATATAATGACTCATTCAAAGATTAATTTTGTGTATTGTGATTTCCATAAGCTTGACTTCTAACTGGGCATTGTACGGTGTGTGCATGGATAACCAATGACTGTAATCATGATTACACAGCGAAAGAAATCATTGTCAAGGCTGCATTCTTTAGCCGAAACCAAATTTACTGTATATTCACAGTTACAGCGACCCTGGGGCTTTCAGCATTAGATAACCAGCAGTTCAGTACGGCCTGTAAAGTGTCTCAACCTGTCTCACTCAGTCTCTTAATTAAGGAAATTAATTAATTTTCTTCTCTTGATGGACAGAAGAAGGTTGCTAACAGGTTATGAAAGAACCCGGGCTGTATGTATGTACATATGTACACCGGTTTTCATTCTTATTCGATCAAAATTCGCAATGGAGGATTTTCAGGTGCAGCTACTTGGCGTTGTGCTCTCTGTGCCAGCTGAAGATTTCTGCGTGCCGAGTTGTTGCCACCAAAATCAATAAAATATGTTTTCGTGTTCTGACCGTAAAGCCGCATTTGTGTAAAATATGACACTTAGCAGCCTTGATAATGTTTGTGGTTGTCTGATATGTCTCAAAGTTTTGTGCACATAATAATGAATTAATACATATTATTACACTTACATAGATTATTTCTGTAACTGATTAAAACGTCGGCAGGTTTGCAGCATATCTTACACTGTTGGTATGAATAGTTCAAATAGTTTTCACACTAAAAAATGGATTTACTTTTCATTCTACTTAATATTCTTGTTCATCAGGCCAGTATTTGAACACCTTTACAATATTAGAATCTAGTGTTTATTCCAGTGGGACAGACAATCTGCCAACTGTCCATGTAGCGCTGCAAACAATTGGATGTGGAGCGCATTTTTCCCCCCCATGTGTGATGCCAGTTATTACAGGCAGCACAACATGCAACATATAGAAATCCTAATTTTCTGCCACCTATTATTATAACACATTTGAACACACTCTAATTAAGGGCAATAGTTCCATGGCATAATAAAATATTTTTTCTTTGTCATACGTGGAGCTCAGATGCTTTGCAGACCACAGGTGTACGTTTATGTGCGTGGAAAAAGGAAAAAAAAAAGACGCGTTCTACCGTGATGGAATGAAACCTTTGGGTTTGACTTTTATACCTTGCAGGTAGGAGGAAAGAGATAAAGGAAGTGCGTTGATGCATCTTCCCCTAGACTGCAATGCTGTAGTGAGGTCAGCGCCAAAGACAAGTAGAGCAAAAAAAAAAAAAAAAAGAGGCAGAGATAATGGAGGACTGG